ACTTATTTTTATAAAAATCTATTTATTATTAATTAACTTTCATATGTAGTAACTTTTTAAATTAACATTACCTATATAATTTTATAACAAATATATTTCAAACTTTACATTATAATTAATATTAATTTGTTATATTTGTATCTAAAATTTAATTAAATCAGAAAAAAATTGAAAAACTTTAATATCATTCATTTAATTTAGAAATCAAATATAATTCTTTTAGTGAAATTTAAATAATTTGACATATATATATATATGTTAGAAACATGAAACATAATTTTACATTGACTTTATTTAATGGTTAAAAATTACATGAATTCAATTACTAATTGATGAATAATTTTATCTTTAAGTTTAATTATTAATATCTTCACATATATAGTAATTCAATACAAATAGTTTTTGATTTTAAAATTAGGGTAGATTTTTTTCTTTCAAATAAATGTAATAAATGTAAAATAATTGTTTAGTATATATGTATAAATAATAAAAAATTAATGAATATATTACTTCAATCAGCAAAATTTAAATTATATTTCTTACTATAATAAAAAATTATAGAATTCTTTTCTTTAAGCTTTTAATAGAATGACTTTTACAAAATAACTCCTAAAAGAAATAGGAAAAATATATATAATTAGTTTATTATAAAAAGAAAAAAAAACTCCAAAATGCTTAGAAGAAACCCTCTCAAAATCCTGTACTTATAAAAATATTTGGTCAAAACATTTACCTTGTTACTTTATTTATTTCAATAGGCTGTTACAGTAAAAAGTAGTTGTATTAAATAATAAGAATAAATACAGAGTGAATAAAATAATCATAATAGATAAAGTATAATATTACTATTTTATGAGAAATTTTAACATATATGTAACTTCCGAATTACCTCTCTAATATTCAAATTATTTTGTAAAACGTCTAAAAAGAGTAAAAGAGTTTAAAATATTGAAATATATATTTGAGTTTTGCTATTAAATTTTCAAAATTAAAATAGGAAATATATCACAAATTTTTGTGTAACATCATGAAATCTGGCTAATAAAGATGCGCACGCTTGATTTTACAAAATCTCTTTAGATAAATACATAATACAAAATTAAATGGATCTACACTGTGATAACTGATAATACGATATTCTTTTTTCCGTAAAAGGCTCATATTTCTGGAATTAATATAAACCTTATATCACGGATTTTTATATTTTCTGTGAATGGATCCGTGAAAGGCTAATTTTTACGGAGTTTTTACAAAAAATAACGGATAAAGTTCATTGACCCTTACTGTATGACTTTAAAGCATTACTATAAAAATGAAAGTAATACAAAATCAAGATAAAATTCATTATAAATAAATTTTTCGCACCCTCTAAAAAGTATCAATTATTAATATAATAAATAACTTAACAATCATAAAAAAAATCGAACTCTTTATATGGTGTTAAAGTTAAGCATTTCATTAAGAAAATTAAATTTGATAGTCTACAGAATTTCCTATTTTATGGAACTAGTAATGGTTTACGGATTATTCACGGACTATCAAAATTAAATACAAAACCAAATATGGTAAATTTTAGATAAAAACCGGATTATCAAACAAATGAATGATCAAACGGATTATGGGATAATGATCAAACGAATTATCGAATAATGATCAAAAGGGATCGCGGAAGATCCGAAACAAACGAATCGATTAATATGAAATTCTTCTTATTTTAGTATTCCGATTGATTAACAAACTACATTTGTTTATCATTTTTGGGAATACCAGAATAAATATATATTATAAATATTATAAATATTATAAAGAATCATTAATACATTTTATAATTTAAAACCTATATCAAATATCATAAATTTCACAAAGTAAATAATAATACAGACCTTTATTAAATATTATAATCCGAAATACATAAAAATCATTTATTTCGATTCCATTCATAACAAATGAATAAATTCATACATCCATTTGCATAATATAAAATTCCGAAAGTTACTCAATTAATTATTTTGTAATACAAAAATAATATTTATTAGATCTAAAACATTTTTCCGAACATCACATTTAGGACAGTTAGTTGAATTGAGAATTTAAATAATGCTGGCCAAACTGACAATGATAAACATACCCACAAAGTAATGTAACGTAACCTAACAGTTAATGTCTTAGATAAGCTAGACATCGTTTGATTTATAAAGATTATGTAATAAACTATTTTTTTTATTGAAATTGAAATACACTAAAATAAAATAAGGGAGATGTCCGGTATCGGTATCTTAGGAATAAAAAAGAAAAAAATGAAATAAAATTTTAATTATCGAAAAAACGGAATTCTTGTTGACCATAAATTATTAACTGTGATTTAATTGATAATTAACTATAATAAGTAATTTGGATATTCATAATGTAACAATGTAAATATATGTAAATAAAAATGAAATTGACTTACTAAAATTTTGAATATGATTTCGCGTTTTTTTTTCATCCACTTGAAAAAAAGAAATATTCTAATATTCTGAATAACAAGAAAAATAAACCTGTAGAAAATCTTATATAAAGTTATTTTATAATTTTATTTGATCATGTCTGTTTCGCTGAATGATATTCCGATATATAATAAGAAATGAAAAAGAAATAATAAAAAAAAAAGAAAAGCATAATTTTTTTTTTTTTTAAAAAAAAAGGAGACTAAATCATAAAATAGAAAAGTATACACGTGAATTATTTGCATAAAAAGAATAAAAAAGAATAGACGAATTATAATCGTCGAATATCATCATATAAAGTTATAAAATATAGATCTCATAAAAAAATAAAATGTTCTTGGATTTGTTGTTGTTGTGTTTAATGAACAGAAATGAATGGATAAAATATCTACGATATTCTTTTTTTAACCGAAATGTTAAAAAGATAAAAAAAACAAGAAATTTAATCCTAAAAAGATAGGAAATATACGATAAAAAGGAGTAAACACCTTCGAAAGAATGATTTTTAATTCCTAATTTAAGAATAAAATAATAAGAAAAAAAAAGGTTTATTAAAGATGTTAATAATAACAATTACTAACCATTAATTAACAAATTTCATGAGTAATCGAGGAAGTAAACTACTCACGATAAAAGATCTAGAGTGAGTTTAAATAAGTTTAAATAAGTTTAAATGAGTTTAAATGAGTTTGAATGATTTTGAAAAATATAACACTTACAATGCGAAAGACGTAACATAATAATATCTGGAATTAAAAATCGGTAGGTGAATACTCATTATGACAAGATTTACATTGTGACGAAAAAAAAAAGATCTGTTTAATTCGAAATTGTTAGACTTCTCAAAAAAAACAAGAGAACAAAAGGAGAAATTAGAGTATTTAAAAATAAAAAGGGGATTACTCGATTTGTATTAGTCATATAATTAATTACAAATTATTAGATTATGACATCTTTTTTTTTTATACATTACATAATAAATCAAAACATACAACATATTTCCTTTTTTACTTACAAACAATGATGCAACATTATTTTCAAGAAACTTTAATATTTGTTTTTAAAAACGTTGGTTTTGGTTAATAATTGAAACTAGGATCCAATAATAATTTAAAAGAACAATCATTAAATTTTTTTGTATTGTAACAAAATGAATTTTTAATTAATAAAAAATAAACAAATGTAACCCATTTTATGCTTGTTTGGAAAATCAGTTTAATTTATTTGGTATAAGACATGTTAATTTCTTTAATGTTGTATTGCATAAGGGGAAACAAATTTATTCTTTTAACTACATCAATGTTTATCGTGTGTCAGGTACAGTTACAAATTTTTGATAGATAACCCTTTGAATTTCTCAAAAGAATAAAGAATTTCTAATGATTGAGATTATCGAATTACGCGATTGAAAATGTACGACAAATATCTTATCCGGTGGCGTGGATCAACAAAGGCATTTTATCACGGTTTAATATTCGGTGTATATTTTAATCTTCTTCTCCGAAATTATTGCTTAACTTATTTTTACATCTATAAATCTTTTATCTTTATCTATTGGATCTAAGAGTTTCCTTTATTTAAAATTCTTTAATAAGAAATTTTTTTTTTTTTTCTTTTTTATTTTATTTTTTTTATTTTGAAAATCTTTAAACTCAAATCCAGATTCTGAATTCGAACGCGTTGGTCAATTAATGTTATTATTTACTGCGACAATCTTTCATTTGTTTATCTACGTGGTTACACGATTGCACCGATCTTCAAAATTTTTTTATCGCCTGATTTTTTCATTGTAACACCAAAATTACAAATTTATTTGTGTTTATTTTAGATCAAATAAATGAACGTTAATTAAAGACATTTGTTTTCTTTTCTTTTCTTTCTCAAAAAAAAAAAAAATATATATATAAATTATTATATGTCAAATGTGACAAATATTAATGTAGTAAAATTGTACATTTTTAATCCATTCTAAAAATGTATGTATTTATGTACAATATCTGCAGGAATGAACTAAAAGACTGCAGACAGACTACTTACTAAGCTTTAATTGGAATTGTTAAGAGGTTCTATTATGCAATTATATATATCTATCTATATCTATCTATATATATATATCTATAGTAAATTATTTCATTGAACCAATCCTTTTATTTTTTTTCCTTTCATATAGATTACCCGTTATTTGTTTTTTTTTGTGATTTTTTGAACCAAAAGAATAATTTCAATGATAAAAATGATAAAAACGACCGTAAATCTTATCTCACTTTAGAAATTTTTAAATTGTATACTAATAAGGAAAATAACTGGTAAAAAACATTAAAGTCAAAATAAAAATGTTACCGATTATCATAAAAATTTCTTTTTATAACTCCTCGTACTGTTTGTTGGGACCATTTCACTGCCATAAATTAAGATTATAACGTGTGTCATATTCATCATAATGTGCATATTATGGTTTAATAAGCCTGGATTTTGACAAAATTAGTAACTCATAGAACGAGTCATAAATCCGGTTGTCTCGTGTTGCCAAGACTGCCAAGACTGTGGATATGTTTATATTATATTTATATTTAAAGTATTCGAATGATTAATATTCCCTCATCCTTCTTAAATTTTATTTTCTCTCAACAACTACAATATGTCATCTTCTTCGTATCCAAGAACTGAACAAATGAGCGTTGGTCCTGATAATAATCAAAATGGAAATATTCAAGAAAAGGATTGGAGTTATAAACTTGGAGATTGTCATGACGCTTGTTTCCTATGTAACAAATTATTTTCTTTCTTTCATTTCTCAATTTACAAATAATTATATTTTATTTATGATACACACACATATTTATTTTCTTTTAGCAACGAAAACTTTTATTTGTCCATGTGTAACTTATGTAGGTTTATTATGTGGTCTTAAATTTTCTATTTATTTATTTATTTATTTACTATTTATTTATTTACTGTATTTATTTATTTTTATTTTATTTTATTTTTCTTATAGGGAGAAAATCGTTCAAATATTACAAAAAAGAATAATAACATTATATGTTCAATATTATATTGTTTTTTTTGTCCATGTATCCTTGGAGCTCTTTCAAGATATGATGTTAGAAGAAAATATAACATAAAAGTAAGTATTCATTCATAAATCATAATTCTTTTTTAAAAAAAATTATCAAATACCGATCCCTTTTTTGTAGGGATCCCTAGGAGGAGATTGTTGTACACATTGTTTTTGTTGTTGCTGCGGGTAAATTTTTAATATTGTTATTTGATTCATTTCATTGTTTATTATTTATTTATTAACTAATAAATGTACTTTAGCCTTATTCAAGAATCTAGAGAGATCGAAAATAATTTGAATGGTTAATTTGAATGGTTAATTTGAATGGTCAATTTTGTATGTTTGATTTAAAAAAGGAAATTTAATTTTTAAATATGTATCACTTTTTTTTTTTCTTTACTAATATTACTAATATTAAAAATGTTTTTTCCGTATACTAATATAGACAATTTTTTTAAAAAAAATTAAACATACTATATTATTTCATTTTAATTTATCATTATAAAGTTTCTCAATCCTTTTTATCTTTTATATATAGAATCGTTAGATTTCTTACTAAACTTACACTTAATATAACCCATACTGTCATCCGAATATAGAAAGTGTAAATTTTGTATTGAAAAAATCAGATGATCTTTATTACACATTTTCACAAAATAAATATTACCTTTTTTGTCGAATTGGGTGTTGATTATCACGTGTTTATATGAAGGAGGGACGCAAAAGTATCGGAATTGACCATCATCTTGACCCTCCTTATATTATGCAGGTCAAGTCAACACCGCGTGGTGGGTCAAGAACGATACATTTGCGGGAGGGACCGGTTTGGGAACACTCCTTTTCCATTCTTACCATTCTTACAAAATAATGATGTTTAATCACCATTAAAGAGAAGGATTCTCCCCTTCTTCGACATGTCAATTCTAGGTTAGTATATTGTTACTTTTGAAAATCTGCAAAAATTTTGAAAATTCTCACAATAAAAACAATTCTACGTTACTATTAGTTGGCAGTGAATTCGCTTTGTTCTATCTAATTATAACCGATTATGCAATTCTTAATTATGGGTACATGTTGAAGTGTTTATCCCCTGTCATTTACACAGTTTTATAGGTGTAATCACATTAATTGTGTGGATACTGGATAATAGATCCAACTTGCATCAAAAAAGAAACATTGCGGATTTGAATAATAATAATAATAATAATAAAAATAACTCATGTTTTTTATATAATATACAAAATTTTGCTTATTTATATACTACTATAATAATACAATTGATTGCTATTATAAAATTAATAAATAATATAGAAACTTAAAATTAATATATTCATATATATATATATAATACAAATTAATACAAATAGATAAATAAAGAAAAAACACTATTGAAGATAAAAATTACGTTATAATCTATACTTCAAAAAACAAATCCGTATCGCTGTCATCATCATCATCATCATCATCATCATCATCAGTTAATAACCAATGTAAGGTCCATTCCCATATCATTACAATTAATGAGGCTGCAGAAGGTGTCCAGAATGAATCTTCATCATTTGATGTATAAAATGGAAGACATCCTCTTGACTTCTTGTGTTTTTTATGTCTATCATTACTTGGAGATTGATAATGTATAGCATCATAATCAATAATCCTAACAACATGCTCTTTGGACTTTCCTTTTTTTTCTTCTTCCTCTTTATTTTCTTCTATATTATTCAGCATTGATAATCTATTTTGTCTTTTCATTTCTTTTCGTTGATTTTTAGACTTAGTTATGGCCAAAAATATTTCACTTATATAAACACTCCAAGCCAGCCCAGTTCTTTTTAATCTTTCTTTATCATTGTAATCTTTTTCAATTAACATCGAGATTAATGCTTTTGGCTGTCGTACATTTAATTTTTTTTCGATTATATCAAAACATTTTGATAATCTTTCTTTTGTTTTTATTTCTTCACAAAATTCATCTTTGTCGTTCTTAATATCATCGGGATCTAATAAATTTAAATCATCCATTTTCCATTCAATATTCAAATATTGAATTAAGGCTGACAATACAATGCCATCGTTCAATCCTATAAAATCTTCTAGAGGATAATTTGATGAAGGTAATAATGATGAATAATTAATTAATTGCATATTAATCCAAAACAATAAATTAGAAGTATTTGAATTTATTGGTGAAGAATTTAAACGTAAAGTTCTAAATGGTTTTGAATTAGATGATGAAATTTTGGTAGGATTTATGGTTAAATTATTATTATTGTTAGTTTGAAATATTGGTAATGACAATCGTTTTTCGGATTTTGATAAATCTTGCAAACGCTTATTTGCCATTGGAGTGGGAAGTGAAGGAATTGTTACTTTAATTTGAGAAGGGAGGGGTTGAGATGTTTTGTTGTTTTGTGAGGAAGTGGAAGAATTTTCTAAATTATCTTCTGTAAATGTTTTCTGCTCTGAATGATCATCATGTAATAAAGTTTCAATATCTACTTCCTCCTCAATAATGGTATTAGGAACATCTAATAATTCCTCCTCAACAAAATGTGACCTAAATTGTTGTTGAAATTGTTCAAAAGAAAGATCATCATCATTATGAAACAAAAATTTTTGAATATCATTATATTTATTATTATTTTCTTTCTTATATTTAATACTTTCTTTAAATCTTTCTTCAACCTGTTCTAATTCTTCTTCAGTAACTTCAAATTGTACGCTAAACATATTTAAAAATTTTGAAGTTGTTAACCAAATTAAACCTAAAGTTAATTTAACGTTTCCATCAACAATATCTACTGCTCCTATAGCTTCTAATGCAATTAAACTTTTTTCATCCAATCGTTTTTTTAAAAATTCCAACACGTTATTAACGTTTGCAATATGATGATGTCTCGTTTTACCACGTTCAATTTTTGGTAATTCTGGGTCATTTGGATAAAGTATTTCAAGTAATTGAATTAATTTTTTTCCATCTCGGAAATCTTTATCAATTGATTTAATTTCTGGAATTTTTTTGTTAGAATTTAATTGATTAATATCAATCATACGTAACTGTATATTAACCCATTTCGTGAATGTTGCTTTTTGTAATTCCGTATATTTATCTACTACGTATGAATGAAATTTTTGTTTAACGTTAACAACTTTTGTTGTTGTATCCCATTGTTCCTTTAACGAATTGCGACGTTTTGGTTTCGTTGGTGAAATTGGTGAAGATGGTTGTGACATGTTTCAATTAAATTAATTAAATTTTTTTTTTTTTTTTTTTTTAAATAAAAAAGGAAAAAGAGGAAAAGATAAGGAAAAAAAATGGTAACGAATGGATTTTATATAATTAATTATTATTAAGGGATGGATATTACACGACCTAGGGGTTTCTTTTAGTCAAGTGATCAATTGTAAACAAAAATTACCAGTTTGCTAATTTACCCACCCCTCATACCATGCGCGACATGACGCAGTAAAACATAAAACGTCATACGTCATCCTGCACAATTCCAAAATTAGAGATCTATTCTCCGAAGATCTTATATCACTATATCATGATGTATCAGCATTTTTCGATGATCTTTATTTATTTTTTTTCCCATTTAAAATTAATAATTAATACCGAAATAAGTGTTTGTGATACAAATGTGAAATTAGAGATTCTCGCTAAAAAAAAAATATTCATATGCGATACGAGACGAATTATTATTTTATAATTATTTCTCTTTTTTTTATTTTATTTTTTTTTTCTTATTTTTTTTTTCCTTCCATCGATTGCACTCGAGTCTCTAATAATCTTCACTCGTTGTTTATAGCAAACTCGTTCACGTTCTTTAATTAATTATATATTAAAAATGTCATCACCTTCATCAAATAGCACACATCCAAGAATACCGATTACGATTAACGATTCATCCTTTTACATAAATCGAAACCGTGCCATGATTAGAGAGAATCTAAGTCATGCTAAATCACTAAATAAGCCAGAACGTCATCAACCAAAGGCTCCCCTTTTGACAGGAAAAGTTCAAGAAAAGAAAACTTGTTGGGTGATATTTTCTAGAATAGTAACGTTCTGGGCACACCCTGCTTTATTATCTTCAATAGGAGGTCTTCATGATAGACCATCAAGACAAGCATGGCGTGAAAAAATTACTCTATGTTTTATTTTTCTCTTCTTGAGTGGCACGGTTGGTTTTTTAACTGTTGGTTTTTCTTCGCTTATTTGTCCTGTTTCTGAAGAAGATAATGACCATTTTTATTCGAGTTTTAATCAAACACCAGGTAATTTTACATCGTATCCGATAAAAACCGAAATTTATATGAACCTGATAAATTATTCTTATTATCTTTAATAATAAATAGGACATCTTGGAATATTGGGTTGGCAATTTGATGTAACAAATGCAAAAGTACCCCCAGAACTTCCTATTTTCGACATATTAAAACATGGAAATGGACAAGACATTACAAATTATTTCACTCGTGAAAATCAAGAAATTAAACCTTGCGTAAAACGTGGCATTAAAAATTTTACAATTGTTAGTCACGAACCTTGTTCCAGTCCAAAAAGTGATATTTGCGTTTTGAAACCTCCAATTAAGAAAACTCTAAATTCATTAAATATTTTTAATACGACAAAAATGGTGGGCTATGATTGGGATCAACTTATACCCTTAAAATATTATATGGTTGTAAATGGGAATGTATTAAATCTAGTACCCTATATCACATCATATCCAGATCCAGTAAATAATGATTTAATGGATATAATTGTTCGTAAAACGTTAAAATCAAAAGGAAAGGATGCGACGCGTTTATTATATAACAATCCAGAAACGAAAGGTGCTGTTGATTGTCTTGTTGATAAATATTTTGCTGGAAAAATTGATAAACAAACTATTGGGTGTTTTACGTCATTACTTTTCTTAAATATTTCATTGACTACCATCTTAGGAGTTGTATTTGTAAGATTTTTATTGGCTTGTGTTTTTAATTGGTTTATTTTACCAAGACTTTCTCTTAAACCAGTGAAAGTAACTTCTAGGGTTTCTAAGACTCCAACTAATACGAGTAAAATAATGAGTAAAATTGGAAACAATTTATTCTGTGTATTGTTAGTTACATGTTATTCGGAAGGTGAAATTGGTATAAGAACAACTTGTGAATCATTAGCCGCTACTGATTACCCAAATGACAAGAAATTATTGTTTTTAATTTGTGATGGAATTATTACTGGTAGCGGAAATTTGAGGAGTACTCCGAATATTTGTATAGGAATGATGGAACTTATTCCAGAATTTGAAAATCCTCGGCCGATGAGTTACATTGCAATTGGCGAGGGTGCTAAACAAAACAACACTGCTAAAGTTTATGCCGGTTATTTTCGTAAGTTTTAAAAAAGATTTCCTTTTTGAATTACACGTTAAACATTATTTTTATAATCAAAAAAAAAAAAATTTCCTTTAGCTTATAAAAATAACCGAGTTCCAATGATTACTCTTGTAAAATGTGGAAATTCTCAAGAACAATGCCAACCTAAACCTGGAAATCGTGGAAAACGTGATTCTCAAGTGATTTTAATGAATTTATTCAGTCGCGTTACGTACAATGACCGGATGTCCGCTTTGGATTATGATATGTTCCGTAAGATTACTCACCTTATGAAAGTGACACCAGATTTTTTCGAAGTTGTTTTAATGGTAAATAAATTTTCAAATATTCCAATATTATATATACAACAAATTCATTGTCTCCTTGTTGATTTTTTTTTTTTCAAAAAGGTGGACGCTGATACAAAAATATATCCTAATTCTTTACGATTACTCGTTAATGTTATGTGTAACGATCCTCAAATTATGGGAGTTTGCGGAGAGACCCGTATTGCAAATAAGCGAGACTCATGGGTTACATGTATTCAAGTGTTTGAATATTTTATTTCTCACCATTTAGGTAAAGCTTTTGAATCAGTATTCGGCGCTGTAACTTGTTTGCCAGGTTGTTTCTCTATGTATCGGCTTAAAACTCGTAAAGATAACGTTTGGGTTCCAATTTTAACGAAACCAGAAATCGTACAAGAATATTCTCAGAATAGTGTAAACACTCTTCATCAAAAGAATCTATTACTTCTTGGAGAAGATCGGTTCTTGACAACGCTCATGTTGAGAAATTTTCCACATCGTAAAATGATGTTATGTCCTCAAGCTGTTTGTAAAACTATTGTACCAGATAAATTTGGAGTTTTATTATCTCAAAGACGTAGATGGATTAATTCAACAATTCATAATCTTATGGAACTTGTATTAGTTAGAAATCTTTGTGGAACTTTTTGTTTTTCTATGCAATTCGTTATCTTTATGGAATTAATGGGATCTGTTTCATTACCGATCGCAGTTTTATTAACTTATAGCTTAATTATTGCAACTTTTATACAACCTCCAAAGACTTTTTCTGAAGCAATTCCAATATTAATGTTAATATCCATTCTTGGATTACCTGCTTTGCTAATTTTAATTACAACAAGAAAATTTGTTTATATTTTTTGGATGTTTATATATTTATTAGCATTACCTATATGGAATTTAATTTTACCTATATATGCTTATTGGCACTTTGATGATTTTTCGTGGGGCGAAACAAGAAAAGTTAAAGGTGAAAATAATAATGATGGTCATGGAACAAAAGAAGGATTATTCAATTCTTCTGAAGTTCCACTTAAACATTGGGAAAATTGGGAAAGAGATAGGTTAAAAAAGGAAAAGTGGGAAAAATTTAGTTTAAGAGTAAAATTACAACAAAAACAATTTAATACTTCAGCTTATACAAATAACTTTAATTATTCAAACCAGTTTTCATCTCCTTCATCAGGACAACAATATATAAATCCATATAATCCATATAGGCAACAAAATTATTATAATTATTAAAATTAATACAGTTAATAAAAAAAATCATTGTTTAATTTATTTTATTATATTTTACATCATAGTGTTTTATTGATATTTAACTTTTATTTATATATTATTAATATTATTAGTTTAAAAATACTGTAATATAGTTTGCATGATTTTTTTTATTTTGTAATATTTGCAATATATAAAAAAAAAATAATATTAATAATAATTTTTTTCTGATTATTTTCAAAGATGTAAAGTAATTTTTAACAAAATCTTTAAGTCATTATATTAACAATTTTGTAAATTTAATGATATGTATTCTAATAAAGTAATTTGTTGCAAATATGTAATATTTAGTTTAAATATAGTAAATTTTATAATTTTGTTCTAAAATTATCAGAATAATCAACTTGTCACTTTGTCAGTATAATGATTTATTAGGATTTTAAGATTTTGTTGTTGATTTTATATATTATTCAAATAATTTTAAAAGTTTTATAAAAATATATATTATAAGTTTATAATATAAAGTAGTAGTAAAATAGGGTTGATCACCCTTGGCTCATTGGCTAGTCCGTGAGTCCTCTCGTGAAGCTTGAGTATAGTGAAGTTGCAGGTTTGATTCTGCCGATCACAGAAATTAAAAGAATTTTACTGCAGACACTACTACCAATAGTGTGAAGGTATAGGAATTAGTGTAGGCTGGATTGCATCATGGTGAATTACTTCTAGATGTCTGCTCCGTTATATCTGCCATACGTGGGTGGTTGCTCACTTCTGACAGGCGCTAGTGGGTAATATAACTGTGTCAGAAACCCTGCTACACTACGATCCATCCTTGTGTGGGTATAAATTTGGGTCGTCTTTCCAGTGTGGTATATAGGGGGTAGGGGAGATGGGATGTACATCTGGTTACTTCTAAATAATTAGAGTAGGTGCTTGGTTAGCTATTGCTCAACGGTAGAAATGCATTTCTGCAACTTTAGTTGTAGTGCTCCCTCCATGTAGCTCTGGTGAACCGGCTATGCTGATGTCTCCTAAAACATAAAAAAAAAAAAAAAAAAAAAATTTCNAAAAAAAAAAAAAAAAAAAAAAAAAAAAAGTAGTAGTAAAGTTAAAATTTAATATTTTTTTTTTTAAAAAAAATTACTTACAAAAAGAGCAATACATATTTTATTAAATAGATAAGTTGGTAAATATTATAATAAAACTGGTATTTTATTTCACAAAGTATTATAACAATGCAAAATACACCTTATAAGTAAATAAACTGAAGAAAAAAAGGAATTAAAGTTAATATTTTTTAGAAAAAAACTCTATATAAAAAAAAGAATAACTAACTAAAAATAAAAATGAAACTAAGTTTATTGATTAAGAAATTGACTTTTTACTAAATAAACTATTAGCATTCCAATATTACATTTTATCCATTAACTTTAGTATTTTCTTCAGTTTTGTTACTTCCTAATAGAGTTTTCATTTAAAGATTTTGAAAACCTTCTTTGTCTTATCTTATTTGAAATTCAACTGGCAATTCTAAATGAAAGATCCTTTTGTATTGTTTTTCCTATTTTATATTAATTTTGCCTGCACATATTTAGTAAAATCTAATTAGTATTTATAACTTTTTCTGTTATATTAAAATTTTTATAAAGGATTTTTTAAAGTTCTTGATTTTATTATTATTCTTTGGATTTTTTATAAAAACAAAGAAAAGTATAGTAATATCAATCTAATTTTTACTCTTAAAACTTTAAAGATATTATAATCATATAAAGTTATTAAAATCAGATAAAAACTTTAGTTGCTATATAAAAAAGCATTTATCATTGAATTTGAAATATTATATAATACTACTTAAAATTTTTCTCTTTCTTTCTGTTTATGAAAAAACCAGGTATTTGATAAAGATAAATTATTCAAACTTTATTATCTTAGATAAATTCATATAGTTTGTTTATCCTAATCTTAACTTAAAAAAATATCATAAATAATAATATCATTAATATATATTTATATAAATTCTTTTAGTTAATATTCTGTAATTATATGTATAGCTTTCTTTTTAGTAACTGGTTTATCATTTTTTTTTTTTATCCTTATTTAGAATTTTTAAATTTAATATTAATTTGTTATCTTATACTTTTTTCAATTCAATTTATTTGTAAAAATAAAGCCTTCTATTTTAATTAAATTTGTTTACCTAAACCTTTCCAAAATCCTACAATTAGTTTCTTTAAAATTTTACTATAAATTTATTATAGTTTTAAGTTTTGCTTTTTTTCAAAGTTTCTAAATAGTTTTAGTAAAATTTCACTAATTCAATATTTTACTAACTTGCCAAAACCCTCTAGTTTTTCCAGTAATCTTAGCTTTAATTTAGCTTTAATTAATAAAAAAGTTACTTTTTCTTTAGCTAATTTTTTTTCTTATATTTCTACTTTAATAATATATTAAATTACTTAGATATTTTCTTTATAGAAAGTGATATTATTTAATATAATATATAACTTGAAATTACTGGATTCAGTAAATTGATATCTTCATTTATATAATTATTATTATTATAATTTAATATGAAACTTATATTATTTGTTACATCTAATTTGGTATAGTCAACTCTCTTTATAGTTATATATTTAAGATAATTTATATTAGGTAACTATAAAAAATATGACTACAGTATATATAAAATTATATATATCACAGGTCGAAATGCTAAAAATCGGCAAAAAAAATGGCGCGAAAAGCAGTGGCTATTCTTGGCTATTCTTGGCTGTTTTTGGCTATTTACGAATTAACCTATACTATTTGTAAATAGTTTATACAAATTTGCGAATAGTTTATGCGATTTGCGCCATTTTTTTTGCCTATTTTTGATCATTTGACGTATGTATATAGTATATTACTACAGTCAACTCCCTCTATAGTTACATTCTACTATATAGTCACACCAGTTGAATGTTCAAAACACTTTATTATTAAAATCTATCCTATATAGTCACAATCACACCTATCCTCAAAAATCTTATATTAAAAAAAACCGTTTATAATCACAGTTATATAAAGAATATATTAAATAACTTGGCATCTAATAATCGTACAAAGATGTACCATAGCTTGTTAGAATCGTCTCACTGAGACGAATCGAATGGTGGTAGTTTTATCCTTTCATGATCACTAGCTGATAAGTTATTCAACAAAATGTTAAGCATCGGCATTATTATATTTCTTGATTTACGTTTACTGCGCTATTTAACATTTTGCTGAATTTCTCAGTACCTAGTGATTATAAAAAGACGATTAATAGTTCGTTGGAATCCTCTCATCAAGACGAATCGAATGGTGGTAAGATCATCTCTCTGTGATCAATATTGACGGAGTTACTACTTAAAACCATTTAATATTTTTTAATTTCGGAAATTGATTTAGTGATTGGATTTCAATGTATTTTATACCATTAGATTCGTCGCATCAAGACGAATCGAATGGTAGTAAGATCATCTCTCTAGGATCAATATTAGCAGAGTTATTACACAAAAACCATTAATATTTTTTTAACTTCAGAAATTAATCTAGTGATTGGATTTTGATGTATTTTATACAATTAGAACCGTCTCATCGAGATGAATCGAATGGCGGTAAGATCATCATTTCTCTATGATTAATATTGGCTGAGTTACGATACAATAAAGTTTTAAGTATAATTTTAGCCAAAATTATATTAATTTTTGGCCAGAATTATGATATACTAATATAAGAAATTTTTTATATAGTTACATCTCTTTATAATTACCAAATATAGACTGTTCCAAATGTGTGACTATAAAGAGAGTTGACTGTATAAATATATATATGTCATAAAATAAATTGCTTAGCAGTGTAAAAAATTTATGGGTTGGATAAAAGTTTGCTTAGCAGACATGAAAAATATTTGCTTATTGACCTTAGTAAATTTTGAATTTTTTATCTGACCTATATATATATTGTTCAGGTCCTATAATAGGTTTTATAATAGTTTTGTATTGAAAATAAAATATTTTATATTAAAATTAATTATTTTTATATGATTTTACTTATTGAGAACAATTAACCACTTAACAGTACCACAGGTCAAAAAGTAAAAAATCAGGCATCAATCAGTTACTAATCGGCATTTTCGCTAAATATTATCACCAATCAGGCAGTTTGCTAACTTTTGATCCAGTGATCAGAAAAAGATGAAATATAGCTCATTGGAATCATCTCAATAAGACGAATCTAATGGTAGTAAAATCGCATTTCTAGGATTAATAGTTAATAAATAATTAAATAAAATATAAATGATATATTTTTATTTTTATATTTTGCTTAATTTCTTATCAAGTATTAATTCTAGAAATGCGATTTTATTACCATTAGATTCGTCTTGTTAAGACAATTCCAATGAGCTATATTTCATCCTTTTCTGATCACTGGATTAAAAGTTAGCAAACTGCCTGATTGGTAACGATATTTGGCGAAAATGCCAATAAGTCACCAATTAGTCACCAATCAGTTATCAATCAGCTACCTGATTAGTAACCGATTGGTGACTGATGCCTGATTTTTCACTTTTCGACCTGTGTATATATGTAAGGTACTTTATATAGTATGATGAATGATTTGTGTTCTAATTATATTAGGTAGTTGAAGATATTATCATGTATTTTTAATTATTTGTAATATTTGTTTTATTTAACAAGAATATAAATATGCTGCAAAAATATTAAGAAAATTGTATAATTAATTTGTTAAAAATATAATTTATGATTTGTTTTAAAAATATTTGAAATTGTACAAATATAATTTTATTTTTTTATTCATTTTTTTTTTTTTTGCAATGCATTTGCAGTTTTATTAAAGTAAAAAAAAATAAAAAAATATATATTAAGTAAAATTCCCTAATAACTACTCTAATAAAATTAAACTACTGTTTCCTTATTTTTACAATTTGTTTTTTTTTGTTATCATTTTTGTATGTAAGGATCTTTTTTTTTTGTTTTGTTTTTTCCTGCATCTTTTTTCTTTCAGTGTGTAGGTGTATTTGCATCAAGTTTATTAATGCATTCTCATTGCACTGTGGGGTGGTTGTCTTATTTACTGTATTTTCGTGGGATGTAACTCCTATATTGTATGGTTTCAAATGTCATAATTAATAAAGAAAATTATGATTTATCGCATATGCGATTTATCGTTATACCCCATTTGTCATGTGATTTGATTAGTTTAATTATATAATAGATATGGATTTGCATAATCATTTTATTGTAATGATGTAAAATAAACTATAATCACGTGAATTATACTTTTAATAAACTTTTAATTATCAATTGGATCAGTATTTCCCACAGCTTCCCTCTCTCTCTCTTGAAATGTTTTCATTTTAGCTATTACTTTCATTAATATTTGAACGTAAAACACTATTTTTTCGCTAATATTAAACATAAACATACCTTTTTTTCATTAATATCGAATGTAAACTACTTTATTTACTACTCTATGGAAAATATGGAAGAAGAGTCTAGCGAAGATACTCAAATCTCGGAATTTACACATGGTACGTATAGTTTAGGGTTAGGGTTAGGGTTAGGGTATGTTGGATTAGGATTTGGATTAGGGTTTGGATTAGGGTTAGGGTTAGATTAGGATAGTAGGTTAGTGTTAGTAATGTGGACTTTATAATTTACTAATTAATTATTTTTTTTTTTTAGATAATTGCAATAATATAGGTAACGAAATGATCTTGTCTAATAAGAATCACCATACATTATTGTATTCAGGAAGGAAGTTTGAATCATGGGAAGCTTGTGAAAATTTTATTATCATGTGAGCCAAGAAGCAGGGCTTTCAGATTATTAAAGATCGTGTAGTACGTTTGGAAGGTATCATCTGTCATCACACATATATATGTTCTTACAGTCGTACCTATGAATCAAATTTTACTAGAGACACTATTACAAAAAAAATTAGTTATCCGTTTGTTATCAATACATCATGCCCAAAATTGAAAAACCTTGAGAAATATGTGATTATTAATAAGATAGTTGAACAACATAACCATTCTTTAGATGTATCAATAGTTGAATTTGAAGATTCTAGAAAATTTACTGATTCAATGATCGAAGATATCAAATTTATGACAGTTTCTTGTAAGTTTGGAGCTACAGCACAAAGAAAATTCCTTGAGTGGAAATATCCAACCCATCCACTTTATTCACGAGAACTTCACAACACTATTCAAAGATTTTGACCTACAAAGGAATCATTATTAAATGATGCAGCTAAACTTTCTAATTGGTTTGATAGTCAAAAGGAAATTGATTCTCGTTGGCTTATATTTCGTGGTTGGGATGAAGATAATACTTTAACTTATTTGTCTTGGATGACACCATATCAAGTTGAGAATTGGGTGAAATATTCTGACTGTGTTATAAATGATGTTACTCATAAGACTAATTGCTATGGTATGGCGTTGTCTTTAATTGTTGGATTTAATAATAATCGAAAAAATTTGATACTTGCTCAAGGACTATTGATTGATGAAAGTCTTGATTCGCATATTTGGATGTTCAATAATATTGTTGAAGCTACTGGAATTCGACCAGTTGTTATTATTACTAATTCTGATCTAGCTATAGCGTATGTAAATATTATGGTTTTTTACGCAAGTTACATTAAATTTTATTTCTATAACTAAGAACAAGAAATTTAACGTCAGGAATAATTAATTAGAATGCATGAATAGAAATAATGTATCAATAGAAAAAATGTATTAATTGAAAGAATGTATCAATAGAAAGATAATAGTAATATGTTAATAATTGTTAATAATTAATTTGTATAGTTATTGCTTTGCTTTAATAAAAATAACGATAAACTAATCACATGATAATAGTCTAAACACGTGATATTTGAGGACTAGCGATATATCACCATAGCGATAAAAAAAAAATCCATTAATAAACTTTAAATTTAAAAAAAAATAAAAAAAATAAAAAAAAATATAATTAAACTACAAACCACTTGTTATACCGATAGTAGTACCTTATGTGTGCACTGTCAAGTAATCGTTTAACTCCGTAGATAGACTTCATTTAATAATGGGTTATCTTAGCCATAAAGGCCCTATTTTCAATGTTTGGTGATCATGGGATCCACCAAATATAATTTTATATTATTATATATAATAAAATTTCTTTTTGATTTTTAAAATTTTTTAATAATATTTAGATAAATCAAATTTTTTAATAGAATTATATTATAAAATTAAAACATTTATAGTATTTACTATTAATAATAATTATTTTGGTTTTAATAATTACTTTAAATAAAATAAAATAATTATTTAAATATAACAAATTATATTACTTTTGTTTGTACATTAATAAATAATATAATTATATAAAATATATTTATAATTAACTTATATAATTACATGATTTTAATATTAATTTTTTATTAAAATTTTACTATTAAATAATTACTTGTTTTGATTTTATAATATAATTTTATAAAAAATTTTTGTTATATAAAATTGTAATTTTAGCTTAAATTATACTATTACATATAATTATATAAAAGATTATATTTATTATATTATTGGAACTAATAACTAAATAAAGTAGATATACTTAAAGAGAAAAAATGTTTATATAGAAAGTACTTATAAAAGAAATTAATTATATAATTATTAATAAAAATAAAAAAAATTTACTATTAATTATATAAGAATTTTAAATATATATAAAATAAGTTATAATTTAATAAAGAAAAAGTAAATTTAGCCAAATTTAATCCAATTTAGTCAATTTTTTTATATATAATTTTTTTTTTAATTTAAATTTTGAAAGTATTATTTAATATTTATATTGTGTATTACTAAAATAAAAATAAATATGAATATATAATTTTTTTTTTTAAAAAAAAAAATTACTTTCAAAGAGAACAAGCAATACACATTTTATTAAAGAGATAAGTACAGTATAAATTTATAATTATTTATTATAAAATGTATAAAATCAATATTAAATCAAGAATTTTTCCAACTATCACTGGAGGTGATGATCACCAGTGACTGAAATTATGATGATTGACCAGCATTTAAAAAATATAGTGCTGGTAAAAATTGATAATTCTGGCCAACGGTGATAATCACCCCCGGTGATTTGAAGTAAAAATCTTAAATCAATATATATTTTAATAATAAATATATAAAAAGTAAAAATACCTCTTATTAGTAATATTAATATTTGCAATTGCAATTAGATATTAATTATATATATTTTTTGTTTATAATTAAATAAAGCAATCCTAATTGGTATCATAATATATAATTTGGCTAATACTGATTGTAAGAAATGAGTCTTTAAATGTAAAAAAATACCATATACCTATAATCTTCAAAGTTCAGACTCCAGTTAATAATTTTAGTTTTCATTTAAGATTTGCAATTTGAAAATATTCTTATGATTTTAAAACCATACTAATAATTGCATTTTGGTTTCAAATTAATCAGATTACCAGATTTGGTACTACTAATATGGTATTATCTATTTTGTTTTCAATTTCATATTTTCTCTTTATTGCTTCTAATGAATCCTCATATGTAGATTTAATTTATTTTCAATAATTAAGAATTTTTTATTATTGGTTAAAATAAATAAAAATATGAAAAAGTCAAATATTTATCATGTGGCCAAAATGCACATTGATAAAACTGCGCTAGCGCTTAATAGTTTTTAGCAGTTTTTAATATGAAATTATTTCTAATATATCAATAATAATTATTTTTAAATGCATCATTAATTAATTCATTCATATACACGCTCATAAAATAATAAATATGCACCACTTTTAAGTACTTCATCAACATTAGCAGCTCTTACAGAACTATCGCTACAATAGATCCATTGCCTTTCACTACCTGTTTTATGCTTTTGTCGTTCAATCCGATCTACTTTTTTTAAAGTATCAGAAGAAAAACTAAAACCATAATGATCTCCTTCACGAATATTCCTTGAAAGTACATACGCTATATAATGTCCATTATATAAACTTCCAAGATGTACTACCACACCATAAAGTCGATACTTGGTATGTTTTTTATTTTGTTTCAATAATGAGTGTGTATTATTACCATCATCAATTATATGTCCGTTGTTAATTCCATTTTCATTTTTCTTTTCAATTTCAGGTGGAACAACGAAATCACCGACATCCAATTCTTCATCAAAAGCTACAAAATCATCAATCTTTTTCATACTAACTGACCATCTACCTCCAACTTGTTGAAACCTTTTAAGATGAAAGACCAACACAGGGGGTAAAGAATCAAAAAGATATCTTTTATAAGCTTTGCGAAGAATATACGTTCGTTCTGGCTTGGAACTTTTAGTTGACAAAGAGTTCGTATATGTGTACGAATTATTATTATTAAAAGAAGAATTGATATCATTTGCGTCTGATGAATTTTCATTATCTATTCTTGAACTATCAGATTCTGATGGAGGAGAATCATTAGATACATTATTACGTAGGTTATTTATATCATTTCTTCCCGTGTATTGTATATCTTCCATGACTTCTTGAGTATCTTCTGTATCTTGAGTATGTACTCCATTTCCTTCAGATTCAGTATTTTTTGAATCATCTAATAGATTCTCATCAGTGTCAATTTCTTCAGAAGTTAATTCTTTGTCTTTTAATTCTTTTTCTCTTAATTCTTCTTCTCTTAATTCTCTTTCCCTTAATTCTCTTTCTCTTAATTCTCTTTCTCTTAATTCGTTTTCTCTTCTTAATTCGTTTTCTCTTATTTCGTTTTCTCTCATCTGTTTATCGTATACTTCCTTGAGTTTCCAGCAATTGTCACAAGCAAAGCTATTGTCATTTTCTAGGGTTTCAACCTTCACAAAACTTTTTAAACAATCTCGGAGTGTTACAGGTTCCTTTGATGAGTTCGGAGTTGATCGTCCTGAATCCGATGGAAGATCTCTTAAAAGCAATTTAATTCTCTCTCTTTCCTCTTTAGTAGGAACCGGAATTCCTTCTTCTATCTCGGTATCAGAACTTTCTTCCTCATTAGACTTCTCATCTTCATTTTCTGAGCCATCCTCACTCTGAGTCTGGGACGGACTGCCCTCATTATTTTTTTTAAATGTATCATTATTAAATGAATATGATGTATTATGATATATACTGTTATATTCAAACCCATATGAGTTCTATGAATTTACGAATATAAAAGTTTTTAAGTTGATAATTTATTTATTTAAGTATAAAATAATAATAATAATCTTACCTTTGAATCAGGCGATGATTTAATTGGCAATGAAACATCCAAAAAGTCTTCGTATGAATACGAACACTATAATCGATTATGAATAATTGTTATGTTAAAAGTCATTCAAATAAACGAACATATTAGTTAGTAAAACTTACATTTTTGCATACGTCACATACAATGACGCTGACTAGTTTTCCACCAAAGCAAGCATCGATAAAAGATTCATATTTTTCGCTAACTTCCTTTTTCGTATCATCTTCATTACTTTCTAAATCTTCCTCTAAAATATTTATATAGATATATATTAGATATATATAAGGTTTCAGCAAGATTTTCTATATAATAGAAAATAAGGGCATAATTACCCTCTTCACTATCATCATCCATTCTTTCCTCATCTTCATCTTGAGGGTCTTGAGACTGCAATCGTAATTTCCTTATAAGCTATAATTTAAAAGATAAATTATTGAATGCCAGTTTTTCATACGTTGATTATTATATGTTCTATCAAGAATTAACAAGTCCCTTTAATGACGCATATACAACCTCTAATGCATAACATATAACATATAATAGTAATATAGAATTTTAATTATCCAATTAAATTCTAATCTAGTTGTAGAATTCACTAAAGTATTAAGAAGGTACGAATATATGGTATGATTTATGATTACCACATATTGTGAATGTTGTAATGTACAATATGAATGAAAAAATTCCTACCTCAATTTCTTCACTTTTTATTCCATCAAATAAAAAGCGCATAAGTTCTTGACTATCTTGTTGTCTCCATCCACGAAATTGTTGCCATTTCTTAGAAATTTGATTAAATAATTCTCTTGGTGCGATTGTATCTTCACGCGTTCGCCACATATCACGAAGAAATTCTTTAAAAGCATTAGTAAGAGGACCGGCATCATTCTCAGTATCTTCTTTAGCCGCTATGCATTTTGTAGCATCAATATGCGGCGGATCATTATAGGGATCTGACGGTGTAAGTACATCATGAAGCACGGAAGTACCAACAACAACCTAGTTTTAGTTAGTTTTAGTTCACAAATGCAAAGGTAAAGTCTATGTCTACTTGCATTAAAATAATTTCAACACACCTGCATGACGGAGTTGAAAAAACAAGTATTTCCGAGATTGCTCAACCCTGGCGCGGTAATTTCATATTGCCACTTTCTTTTTGGTTTTTCATAATCATAAGGTTCTATTGCTAATAAAATAAAATGTAAATATTTATTTTATAAAGCAAAATTTCATTCAAGATTAACATTAACTAACCTTTACTATCTTCCTCGTCTTTCTTTAAATGTTTTCGAATAGCGGCCTGTACTTGGGATAAAATTTGATTATTTTTGGTTGAAGGAGTAATTTCATCGTCACATTCATAACACCTGAAAATAACGTAATAACATTAAAAAATATCGCATGGGCAAAAGTAAATCAATTTCTAATTAACGTACCAAGTTTGAAGAGTTTCCATATTGAGTGATATGGGATGGTCCTTGTCTTTAAAATGTTGAATTGCATGCCCTTTGATGTCGCGGCCACAATGCATTTCAGCACAAGTAAGACATATCCAAATATTAACAGGCGGTGATACGGCATCATTCGAATCTGTCGTAGACGTTGAAGGGGTTTCGTTATTATCCTTGCAAGTCTGTTTTAGAAAACACAAATTTGATTAATAATATATCATTAAAAGACAATCATTTATAAATCATTAAAAAGAATTTCAAAAAGAAAACCATTTGTTTGAATATATACCATACAATTGATCTCTAAAAATGTATTTTTCACTTTTTTATCAACTTTGTTCGCTTTTACTGTTTCTTTACTAACATGCCCGCATTTTCCATTAGGATGGCTATCGTCATCAGAAGAAGTATTTTTAGTATGTTGAGAAGTACCTAATGAAAGGTGATCACAAATCATGTCCAGTTAGTAAAAAAAAACTCCGGTATAAAATAAAATAAAATAGGAATAAAAATAAATAAAATTAACTAAAGAAATAGAAAGTTAGATAGAAATGATACACTACTTCCTTCTAATTCATTATCAACCGACATATTATTTTCGTGATTTTGGGAGGCCATCTTACGAGTTTTTTTGTTTTTAGCTTTATTCTTATTTTTTTTTTTTTTACTCATACCTTGGTTTTTTTAAAAGTCCGGGATGTTTTTCGTATGGTCAAAAAATGACAAGGTAGCACAAAACTGCTGTGTAATAAAGTACAATTACGTATATCTTATATATCTTTAAATGACAATGAAGGTCACATGGAAGTCGGATTAAGATTATCAAAGAAAAAAAATTTCAAAAAAGAAAAAATCATTCAAAAAAAGAAAAAATCAATCGTTTTTAGAAGAAATGAAAAATTTTTTATCTATTTTGCATATTTCTAAAATGGTTATAAGTCCGTTCTTACGAATGCCACAACATATTAATAATATGCCTAAAGGTAACAATTATATCATTTAAATTCTTTTTAATAGTTTAACTAAAATAAACATTTCAAATTCAAGCGGTTTATAGTTCAACGACTTATAAATTGATCACTTCCACGACGACAACTACGACTACAACGGATACAACGGATCCACCATCTTCGTCATATTCATTTTCATTGTCAAAGTACTCTCATATACCATCATTCTCTATTGCAACAAAAGATTATTTAAATCGGTTAAGAGAACAACTTCATTTTTATGCAGTAGTAGAAATTCGGTCACAAAAATTTTTAATAACAAAAAATGATTTAGTTATAACTCATAGATTAAGTGACGTAGACATTGGGGATGAAATAAAATTGAATCGTGTAACGGAAATAGGTTCAAAGGATTATACGATTAAAGGGCAACCTTTAGTTTCCGAGGCATTTTATAGTATCAAAGCTACAGTAGTTGAGCAACCTAAAGGACCTTTTATTGAAATTTTTAAGAAGAAACGAAGGAATAGACACAAAAAAAGAGTTACTCATAAACAAACCTACACCATATTGAGAATTTCTGAAGTTGAAATTAATAAATTGAATTGAAAAAAGAATTTCTAAGAATTTGTGCAATTTTCATTTCATTTATTATATATAAAATAATCTTTTTTTTAAGTAATTAAATCATTACCGAATCCTTTTTCTTGAGCTTACTTTTATCCGCACTTTTTTTATCCACGCATTTATCTCTAATTAGTAACGATGTATTTCTCTTCGAACGCTCTCATATCTGTTTCGTACTCACTTTTAGATTGTTGATATCTTTTTTTATACGGCTTTTTTTTTTTTAAAAAAAAAATAATTTTTAGAAAAATTCAAATTGATATATACAAAAAAAATTCAACCTACCTCTTTATCTTCATCACTGAGTTGTCTCCATTCAGAAGCGAGTTCTTTAATCCGAACAGCTCCTTTCTCTGCATTGTCACTCATACGTTCCACAACAAAATGAATATAAGGTGTTTTAGGTCTCTTTGGCTGATCAGGATGTTTAAGCAATTTCAATTTTGATTTTCTCCTTCCCTTAGACATCTCCATTCTACGTCGTTTATTTTCTTGGGCAATTTGATCAAGTGTCAAAGACCTTAACCACGCTTCATGAGAGGTCTTAAATTCATCCCTTTTTTCTTTATATTGATTTGTATATTTCTTGATTTCGGAATTAAAAATGAATTAAGCCAAATAAAGTTAAAAAAAATCGTTAAGAAAAATTTCTTACGTTTTTCTCCTCTGCTGATAATTTAACCCATTCATTACCAGCTAATCTAGCAATTTCAGTTACTTTATCTTCTGGATTCTTTTTATGTCTTTCGTAAAAAAAATCACGGAAGAAAAGAGTATAAGCTGTTGAAGGCTTTTTTGGTTCTTGAGGTATAAGATAAACATTTTCTTTTTCCTTTTCTTTAAAAAAAAAAAAAAACATATATATTTTTAACAATGATTTTTTTTCTAGCATTCAATCACATTTTTAATAAAACAAAACTTATTATCATAACACTTCTTCTGAAAAAAAGCTTTCGTAATTTTACTACTTTTTTTCTGAGTTGATTTAGAGTCACTTCCTCGTTTAGTCTTTGTACTCTTTGTGGTCTTTGTGGTCTTTGTATTCTTTGTATTCTTCTTCGTATTCTTTGTATTTTTTGTCGTAGTAGTAGCATATTGTCGTAATAAATTAACACAAACAATACGACCATTACAATAAAGAGAAGGCGTGGTTCCTAGTATACGCGTTGCTAAAGAGCTTTGTGATAATTTTCCTAACATATTCATCCTTATTAATTTAAAAAACGCGTTGTTTTTTTTTAAAAAAAAAAAACAAAACCAAATTTTTGTCAAAACTAAAAATAAGGGGAAAAAAAGAAAAAAAAAAAAAATTCGAATAAAGCTTATGAATTGTTAATTTCTATTTGTACCAATATTGGTAAAGTTACCTGTTTACGGGACAATATTTTAAGTTTCGTACTATGAGGAAAAATTTCGAACTCTAAAAAGAAATATTATGTTATGCGTAAAGACTAAAGAGACGGATATCATGATGAAACTCGTGACGCGTCATATATGCGTATTATAACACGTGATTATTTAATTTTTACTACGGTAGAAAGTCGGTTTTAGGTGCAATTGTAGCATTCTATGAACATTACTATCTACAATCATATGAAATTTTAAAATTCCCGCGTATAAGACTTACTCGCAATATATTGGTACTTACCATAATCTTTCGTCAAAGAATAAGCAATTTTTCATGATTGTATAATTAAAAAAAATTTATGGAACAGGGAAAAGAAATAAAGACACAAGATCACGATCATACAGTAACACCAACGATTTTACAAGTTTTGAACCCTGCAGTATGCCTCATTTAACTTTTCACAAATCGAAAATCTGCATTTTTTTACAAACACTGTGATTTAAAACAAACATAATTATATACTCCTTAATAAACGTTGATTACAAAAAAAAAGAAGAAAAAATAAAAATTTTATTATTTACCAGATTCTATTAAATTTTTGAATACAGAGAGAAAAAAAATAATTAAAAACAAAAATAATTACAGAAAAAGAAAAAGGAAAAAAATAATGCAAGAGTAATTAAAAAAAAAAAAAAGATAAGAAAACATATGCAATAAACTTTAAATTATTTTTTTTTTTAAGAATAAAGTCCATATTTTTTTTTATCTATTTAACAAAAATACATTATTAATTTGAAAATGATTGAGAGAGAGAAAAAATGAAATTTTTTTTTTATTTTGAACCCCTAAATAAATCCCAAGAACCTTCCCAAAAAAAAAAATATATATATATATTCTTTTGAAACTATATATGATTAATTTAGTTTTAAAAAAAGAATGAAAAATAATTACAAAGTGAATAAAAGAAATTAGGAAAGAATATCGAATTCTTTCAATTTTTTTGATAAAAAGAAAATCTTTTTAGATATTTTCGCCTCTTACTTCACCTTTTCCAATCTCCCAATATCCATCCTCAATTGTGTTATTAATCATCAATTATATATTACATTCTAACCAATTGAGGCCTTCTAACCAACTTGGCCAAATGAAGCGGTGGAGCATGAGGGCCACGCGGATGAGGAGGCAAGAAAACGTGTTGTTGCAAGTAAAGTTGTTGTTCCTGGGTCTGTACCACGCTATAGTTATAATGCATTTGATGATTATGATTATTATTATGATGATGATGAGTGGGTACTTGAATTGGAATCCAATGAATTTGCGGTTGTTGAACTAAATTGAATCCAGTTCTTTGAGGAACCAACGGTACTTGATTACTATAAACTTGAATAGGTTGAACAACTTGGAAAGGTTTTTGACGTTGCTGTTGTTTTTGTTGTTGTTGAACCCTTTTAAAACCTCCACCATACGAATAACCAGATTTCTTCACCCTTTGTTGTTGCTGCTGTTGTTGTTGTTGTTGATGTTGATGTTGATGTTGCTGTTGATGTTGATGTTGATGTTGATGTTGATGTTGCTGTTGATGTTGCTGTTGCTGTTGTTGCTGTTGCTGTTGTTTATGTTGAACATTTTGGGAAGGGGACATTACAAAATGTTTATTCATTGGAGGAGATGGAGGAGGAGTAAGAGGAGGTAACTGATGAACAAGTTGCTGTTGTTGATGTTGCTGATGTTGTTGATGTTGTTGATGCTGCTGCTGACTTCTCTTCGATTTTAATATTTCCCCATAAACAGCCATTTTTCTTTCAATAAAAGTATTAATTAAGACCAATTTACGTAAATGATTAGAAGAATCTTTACGAATTTTTGGTGAATTAGTTTGATTACCAATAGATTTAATTTTTACAATTGATAAAGTATAAATATAAGTAAGATCGATTGCCGATGTTGAATTATTATTATTATTATTAGTTTGATTGTTGGCGTGCATTTTTAAAATTGAGGAATGCAAACGTGTAAAGTGAGGTATTGTGAAGAAGTTATTATTAAATAAAATGCAAAAAAAAATGATATAACAAAGCCGGCTTTGTATTATAATATATATACTTTTGATAGTAGTAACTTAAATGTAAACAGGATTATTATTTTTTTTTTTTATTTTTTTTTATTTTTTTTTTTACAAGATGTGTATAAGAGACAGTCATGAGAGGTCTTAAATTCATCCCTTTTTTCTTTATATTGATTTGTATATTTCTTGATTTCGGAATTAAAAATGAATTAAGCCAAATAAAGTTAANACCAAGAAAACACTCGTTTATATAGGTTATATATAAAGTTTTTAGTGTATAACATTATATAATATATTATGTGTATCTTAGTATAAAGTAAGGAAGTTAAATGGATGAGCTCCGAATAGTACTACCGCAAGTGTAATACACGAATTCAATTGGTGTCAAATACAGACACAATTTATTTCTTGTATGTTTTTGGTGATAAGGAAAAATGTAAATGGAAAGGATCAGCAAAAAATCTATAAATAGTTGAATATGAAGAAGTCACTACAAAAATTTTTCTTGATGCGAATTCTTATCTTTGATTCAAAAACAAACAAATTTAACCGGATTATTTATTTATTTGTGATAAAATTTATAATGTGACAAATTTTTTTTTTTATAGTTTAAGGGAAAAAAAGATATATATAAAAATATATGTGCACCAATCTCCGATTTCCCATAAGATTAACCAATTTAGTAAATAAAGCCACAATCAATTACAAAAAGAGTACAATACTTTCTTTCATTACTTTTGTATGATTCTGCGGCCAATGAAATTATAAATGTAGTGTAAAATTACAAATTATTATTAGCGCCACAGAGCATAAAAAGAGGTGAGAATCAAATTTGGAATTAAAAAAGAGAAATATACATAATACATACAAAGGGGTTCAATGTGTTATTTCCTTTGTTATTTTAATATGTGTACCACGCGTGTGTTAATTTTTGTTAAGTTAGGCAATTTCTCATGTTTGTATTATGTTTCGCTTACATATCTCACATATTAGCATCTCCAGTACCGTACCATCATTGTTTCAATAAAATTTTTTTTTTTTTTTTTTTTTTTTTTTTTTTCAGGTCAAGTTTTTGTTTCTTTTTTGTGTTTGATTTTTAAGTTTTATTTATGTCATATCCATTGTTACCGTTATCCAAGGGGGTACATTTATATTTATGATATTTTATGATATTTATTATGATAACATCAGATTTTTTTTATTGTATTACACATTGTTCCTATAACTGTTCATCGATGATTAAAGTTTAATTAAAAAAGATTATTATGATTTCGGAATTAACAATCCTTAGATTTTTTTTTTTTTTCTTTAGAATGCTGGTTGTCCATCTTGTCCATTAACGAAACAGGAGATTTATATCAACTATTGACTGCGACACATTTCATTTAAGGAGCCAAAATTGATTTGAAATTTTTTTAAAAAAAATGCAACGTAACTATATTTTTATATGACAACATATGTGTATTTATATTACTATACATATATACAACATACAAGTATATATACTTCACTGTATTACATGAAACAGGATTTAAAGCTTGACAATTTTCCCCTCTAAAGGCTCAAGAAATGATGAAACAAATAGAGAATTATTATTTATTAAGAGGCGCAATCTATAAAAGCAATGCAATGTATATGTGCTAACTAGAGAAAGAGTGAAAGAGGGAAAAAAGTTGGTTTTATTTTAAATTACGGTATTAAAAATTATTGGGCAAATATTTCGAATATAAGGGGTAAGGAAAAATCTCCCTCCCTATAAGAAAGACATAAATTATTTGCCGTTATTGAAACCATTTCTCCGTTTTCACCCATAAAACTTGTTTAACTTGTTTCTTAATTCTTATCACATTGCGCCACCAATCATCACGTGGGATAACCATAACGCCCTACTTAAATTTCGTAATTATTTTTCGCCAATTACTATATATGTACAAGTAATTTTACCTTTCATCATGATTTCCTTATTTTATAGTTTACTGCCCAAATCGTTTATGTTTTTTCTCACCCGAACTTTTCATAAAAAAAGAATTCTCATATTTCACTAACCATACAGAATGATCATCGGTAAAAAAACCTAATCTCTGATTACAATACAGAAAAATACGGAATATTACAGAATAATCTGAATTTTCTTTTTATCTATTTATGTTCTGTTTTGAAAACGCAATATTTCACAATGATTGGTTAATGTGTACAATGGATCTTTTGGGCGTTTAAGCGGGAAATATAGAACTTAATTTCTCTTTTTTAAGTAAGAAAGATTAAAAAAGTATTGTCGATTTCTTAACATTGATATTTAAATGCTTGGAAAATTTTAAATCATCATCAAATTTTTTTTTTTTTTTTTTAAAAAAAAAGGAAAAGACGTACCTTCCTTTCTATCTTCGAAGAAGATGTTATGATGTTATTGGTCAATCATGCATTTGTGTGACCTTTTTGGTTTTACGCCAACAAACATTCCAATTTAAGTTAATTTACGTATAATTGATTTTTGATATATAATTACATATTCTTAAACCAAATTTATCTTTTTTGATTTTTTATCACTTTACAATAATTTCTTTAAAAAAATAAAATATCAATTATAAAATTATTCATTATAAAAGTTTGTTGAACGAACTTCAAATTTCGTTATTAAATAAATAGAATCATTTAATTTATCTTTCTCATATTTTTAATAAAATGCCTTCTCCGAAACCTGGGAACATCAAACAACCTCAATCACGTCTTACTAATCGTCGTTCTTTTGGTTCAACCGATTCGAATTACTCATCATATGATCTTGATAGCGTAGTAGAAACTATTGATAGCAAATCTGATAGAAAAAATAAGGCAATTCCTAACAATGACTCACAGGATATAGGAAGCGATTATCAGCAAAATAGTAATCATAATAATAATAATAATAACAATAATGATAATAATGTCGATAGTCCTAAAACTTGGTGGAGTAAGATTAATCCTTCTTTGACATTGGAAAATAAAGCTAGTGTCGCTAGAGATCATTTAGGTATGTTAAAAAGTGATTTGTCTCATCATAAATTCATTATGTTTAGTTCATACAAATTCAACTTTTATGTTTAATTCATAGCAAATGAAAGAACATTTTTAGCCTGGCTTCGTACTTCTCTTTCATTCATAAGTATTGGTATAGGTAAGTTAATTAATCACTATTCAAAGAATATTTTCAAAATTAAAATTATTTATTATTTACTTACTTTATTTCCTTTTTCTTCTTTTCAGCGATCACACAATTGTTTCGTTTAACCAAAATATCAGATGATCAACGAGCAAATGAATATAATAAGGAGGGGAAAGTATTGGGTATCATATTTATATTATTGGGTGTAGTGTTTCTTTCATTTGGTATTACAAGATATTTTCATTCTCAGTACTTAATGACAAAGGGTCATTTTCCTGCTAGTAGAGGAAGTATTTTAATAGGCACGTTGTTAACCATATTTGTTTTAACTACCTTTTTTATTGTCATCATGACTAATGATCGCTAATTGATAATTATTTTACGTAGCATTTGACTTTTTTTTTTTATATTTATTTAATAAAGATATTTATTTATTTTGCATATTTAATTTGTATTTAAAAAAAAAAAAAAGAAAGAAACTTGGATAGGAATGAACGCTGGAATACTGATGATCTGCACAATTTTGGCGCTGATCTGAGATTAATTAGGTAAATCTAAAGAATAAATTTAGCCTTTCTAATTAATACCGATGTTTTTATTAGAGATATGTTTTAATCTAAAGATGGTTATTAGTTGTCTTATCAGATGAATTAGTTACACATCCATCATATTGATATTATTTTACGTAATATTTAATATATTAGTTTAACTATTTTATAAATAATTATTCTTAGCTGTTCGGCATTATTTTCACGGTTTCCGAGATTTATTTTAGAATTTTATTTATTTTACGTATATTATAAGGTATTGACCTTATACATGTATTAGTTTAAAAAAGGGTTAGAAAAATTATAATTTAAAAAAAATAGTCCGTATATTTTTACGGTAATATTTGTTAATATAAATCTGATAATTGATTTTTTTTTTTAATGTTATTATTTTAAAAAATAAATTTAAAAAAATGTGATAATTTAGAGTTTGGATCCGTGTATTCATTTATCTTACCGGATATATATTCGTAATAAAATTTAATATCCGTAATCTAAAAAAAAATTGAACGGATAATCCATATTCATATTATCCATAACACGGATAACGGAACAATGCATATAAAGAATATAACGGAAATGGTGTAATATTTTATAGGTTTATAATTATATAATTATTATAATTTTGCCGATCTAAAATTCAAATCCCAAATCAATAAACTACCTCTTTTCAACTTACAATTTCAAGTCTAGTATCCAAGAAAGGTCCAGAAGGAAAGTAAGTACATTTATGGGAAAAAAAAGAATGGAAAGGAGTAAGAAATAAAAGGAAAAAAAGAAAGAAGACTGAAAGAAGGGAAATAATAAGAAAGGAAAAGGGAAAATATAAAAGAAAGTTAAAAGGATAAAGGAAAAGGATTTAAGAGAGGAAAAAAGGCAGAAAAAAATATTTTAAAAAAATCAAGTTTAATCCATTTTTATAAAAAAAATTTTATTTATTTATTTTTATTAAAAAAAACTTATATATCTTATCCAAAATTTTTGATTATTATATAAATCAATCTGATTGGTTAATATAAAAATATGTTAACTTTAAAATTAGGTTATGAATAGATTGTTTAATATTAATAAATTCATTAATATTTAAATTTACTGATTAATAATCCTTATAATTATTTAATGTATAATATTTATATCTATAAAATAAAATTAATGATTTTAAAAAGTTGATTACTTATCAAAAATAATTGAAAATATAAATTAATAAAATTTTACTTTTTTTTCAAATTTTCAAATTACTTTTTTAACTATATATTATAGTTTAAAAATTAGAAATAATGTATTTACCGCACCCTGTGTTACAAATTTATATATATTTGTATGTTTATCATTTGCCATTTTAAGGGGGGGTGCGGTGTATAAACTAAAGATCGACATAAACAATTTACAAAAAAGGAAGGATGCGTTGTAACGCAGGGTGCGGTAAATAAATTCACTCTAAAAATTATTAGTTTTATTTTAATTGTTGTTCAGAGTGAAGCGAAGAATTATATATATATGTTTTATGTTTTCAAAAGACTATAACAAATAGTATCACGTGATGATATCTGGTTGTCCACATGCATTATGTCTTTTTCAATTTTGTGCTACATTAATAATAATAAAAAAAAACAATCCAAGTGTGAAAAAAAAATAGAACAAAATTTAAATTCTATTTGTTGTTAGATTTTATATTATTAGATATATATTTGTTATCTACAATAAAGCATTCAGTTTCTTGGTACCATAAAAACTAAACATTTTTCTTCGTCAACCTTCTTGAGTAGCCTTTTGCCATCTTTAATGCGCTGAAGTCTCTCAAAGCTAAATGGTTTGAAAAGAATATCTTCTAATATGTATACTCAAAACACTGCCACAAAAGAAAGTTTTGTGATAAACTCTTTATAGCTAAGATCTATTACGGCCTTATTTAATGTAAGACCTTAACTTTTATACACTGTAATTACCCACGCAAGATGAACAGGAATTTGCATGTATAAATATAAAGCTCCAAATTTACCAGTCCAAGTGCGTTTAATTAGTGCAATTGGTACAACTCTTTTACCCTCTAAATTAGTAATGGTAGGTCCTTTGTAATTATCAAAAGAGATCAGGACTGCTATAAAAAGATAAGGCAGTTCTTGGTCTTCTTATTATATTTCAGACTGTTTCTATCAAACTATTGACTAGTCTGCTTTTTATTTACAAGTTTACCATTAACATGATTCGTACATCTCTTACAAGTAATATATTCACTTTGAGATCATGCACTGTGTCTGAATTAGCTTTTTTTGCTTTATTACCTCCTGAATGTATAACCTGAATTTGAAACTATTACGGTCTGTTATGCCGATCTTATCTTCAATTTGTGTGGTAAGAATTTTCCAATCGTTTATGGTAGATTCTCTATTACACATCCTCAATAAAATATTTCTGAATTCCTGTTGTTCTTTAGAATTTCCTAATTGATGCTGAATAATCTTAAGCTGATATATTTTATTGAACTTTTTGTATACTGCAAGACCACTATTGGATAATGCGTCTTACTTGGTATTAACATACATAGGAAGATCAAGAACCGGTGAGAACTAGCCAAAATCACCAAATATAATAACCGATTTGCCACTGAATAGTTCATTATTATACTCTAGAAAAGCTTACCGGAGTCATATATCAATTAAAGCATGACCAACCATACTTTTTTCGTTGATTATTATATAACTCACATTTTTTAATTTATCCTGTAATTGCTTCAGTTATTTACTGTTAATTTCAAGACGCTTGAAATCATTAATTATTGGTATTACTAGCCCTAAATGTATTATTGTGCAAGTAACATTTAATCAAGTTAATATTCTTTTTGCTCATTATCTTCAATAATTAAGTTCTTTTTCTCTTCATCAATTATTTCACTTTTTGCATCATCTATAGGTGATTCAAATATATCAATTGGATTAATATTGATCTTCTCAAAATGGTGACTATATAAAGTTGATTATATGATGATACTATTTTTGTTAATTATTGAAGATCTCGATGATGAATGTAAAGAACAACTTTTACGTGACAGAATTCTTCCTATTGAGGACCTTCATGTATTGGTAATAGCTATAAAAAATATGGACAATATTTTTCCATTAATACTTAGTTCATTGATTTTTAACCAATTTGTATATTAAATGAAGTTGATATAACGTGAAGTTTTCAAGTTCGGTAGGTTGGTCCCAATATATTTTTAAGAGTGATTTTTCTATTTGTTCTGGATTATTAATCATAAGAAAATCTTCTGTTTCTCTAGTATCACAAATCTATCTCAGTGCTTTCTTATTAAGATACAAGAAAACAAATTGCCAACTTGAATTATAGAGAGGAAAACTAAGAAGAATATAACAAGTTTCTTAGGTATAGATATTCTGTTTCACAATACTATGTAGTAATTAAGGTTGCTGGAGAAACTAGGGGGTTTTGGCTAGTTAGCAAAATGCTGAAATAGCGAAACTTTGCCGAAACTATATGAAAGTCTTATTAAAAAGTTAGTAAAACTCTAGAAAAAGCGAAACCTGACAAAACTTATTATAAATGCTGAAACTGCTAAAACCTTGCCAAAACTATAATAAAACTATAGTAAAATCTTGGAAAAACTAATCGTATAATTTTGGAGAGGTTTAGGCAGGCAACCTTAGTAGTAATAGCCTTTAAATTGGGACAAATAACAGATTTTCTGGCTAACTTTCACTAAGAATTCAAATCAATATATCTGAAAAAGCTGCTGAATGTAGCTTCGTTTTGCTTGCATATTTCGAGATGTATTGCAGTGTAATATGTATAATTAGAATTAGCTTTAAATTCATGTTAGTTCACACATTTTTGTAGTTGAAATCGATTATGTGGATTAATATATTGATCGTTTTGTGCTGTTACAAGTTTTAGTTGTCCACAATTATCATCTCTCACAAATGTTTGTTCAAAGACAATATAAATGATTATATTGAATATATCTTTATAATTTGTTAATCAAATCGACGTAATCTTGCTAGTTATCGCATAATTCTTTATTTTTCTTTTGGCATGAATACTGTTTAAAAACAGACATATCAAGTCCTAGATTTATTGTGATGACTAAATTATCAAGGTATTATATAACTTCATTTATTATGTTTTCATTTTCCTTCATTTATTTTCAATCTATTTTGGATGCATTTCTTCTTTTTCTGATTTTGTACACATTAATATTGCTGCGATGCTGCTATTCAAACCAATCCTTTAAATCCCACTATTATTTTAGAACGTCATTAAAGAATATTTCAAATTGCTTACTGAAAAATTAAATTGCAATATGAAGATTGTTAACAATATTTTGGTAATAATGTTTAGCTGAAGTTTCAGAATTACCGCTGATTTGAGTCAGTGCAAATTAGCAGCATTAAATATAAAGAAAATCAAGCCTTGTGAATCTATTTGTTTAATTATATTGTACAGTTCGTTACTTTATATATTCCAGAACTGATGAGAAACTGCATAATTCTATCGGCTATATGATTATCGTCTTGAATAATTCTTTCCTAAATATCTGAAACAGTAATTTGATCATCAGTAAGGTTTTGTTTAACGTATATCTTCTCTTCTTATAGTGCTTGCCAATGCATTTAGAAATTCAGTGCGAAATACTATTAATGAATATAGCATACAAATCTTCCATCTTTATATAGAAGAAAATGTTTGAAGTATTTAGCAGACTTAACATCTTTAATCCACTTTGCATTTCCAGTTGGATATAAAGATGGAAATGCACATATGATATATTCTAATGTTTGAAATTCATTAACAGGATTACTATTCATTTGTGGCCATGTAATAGGATAATTATTATCCTGCATTCAATCAAAATATTTTTAATGATAACATCTTCGTGATATGTTAGGAGAAAATATGGAACAAATGTTTATGTAATTATGTCTTCATCATTTTTGAAATCTGATTCTTCATCAATATCTTGAAGCTGTTCATCAATTAGACCATCATTTGGTAAAGATCAAAGAACTTCATGATCAATCATTATATTATTAATGTACAGATAACTTTAAGGTATTTAACTCTAAAATCTCTAAATGCTTCCAGATTACTCTCAAATTTATGATGTATGACTAAAATATCTAGTGATGATGGATGTTAAAGAAGTTTTATAACAAATTTTTGGATGTCCTGGGGAAAATTAATTATATTTTCATGATATTCATGTTATTCTTCTCAAAGTCTGTAAACTGACATCTAAGGTTGCCTGCTTAAACCTCTCCAAAATTCTATGATTAGTTTCTCCAAAATTTTACTATAGTTTTATTATAATTTTGATAAGGTTTTGGCAATTTCGGCATTTATAATAGGTTTTGTCAGGTTTTGCTTTTTTCCAGAGTTTTGCCAACTTTTTAATAAGACTTTCATATAATTTTGGCAAAGTTTCACCATTTCGGCATTTCGCCAACTTGCCAAAACCCCCTAGTTTTTTCAGCAACCTTATTGACATTACAGAAAAAATTGTTGTAATCAATATTTCTTTGATTTCTATGAGATTCTGAAGTTCATCAGGCACTTCTCTTGGATCCATATTATTGTCTGCTGAGAATTTTTTTAGAAGGTTTTATTTTTTAGAAATATTATCTTACTATGGTAATATTGGTATTTTTTTTTATCAGTATTATAGATGAGAAGCTTGCTTTGCAGGTAGAATAAACAGTATGTTTGAATTTGTTAATTTTGTCACAAAATTTTTTTAAAAAATTTTGATCACTTTCACTTAGTGTATTAATTGCAACACGTATTTTTGTGTCATTTGCGCCGACTGCATCACTATCTTAAGAATTTAAGTCTTGATTCGTTGTATTTTAGATATTCTTCAGATAATTTCTTTATTTATAGTAGTGATTAAGACATTTTTTATGTTATTCATTCATTTTCACTACTAGCATTATGCATTTTCGTTCTTTATTACGTGTGATACATGTCTTTCGCTCTTCTGTGTCTTTTCTTACTCTTTTTTGCTGCCTGTTTTCACATTGCTTTGCAAGACATATTTTACATTGGTTAAGTGTTTTATTCTCTTTAGCTTTATGTTTTCGAAGAGTGTCATGATTTATGAATTTATTTTTCATTATGTATACTAAAGAGAAATTTCATAGTGGCTAGTATTTTACTTTGTTAATCAAACATCACATATCATTATCATCACTTCAAATTACTATATTTAGAATAAAATTACATTAATGTAATAAAAAAAAATGATTATGCGATTTTTATTAATTTTAATTTTAATAATTGTTAATGAAATGATCATATAATACAAGTTTAATACATTTATTTTGTTCTGTTTATTATATTTTTACATTCATTATAACATTTTTATATTAAATATTTATTACATTTAACACATTGTTTTATTTATTAGTGCATTTACTTAATTATTTATTATATTTTGTTTTCTTATTTTAAATTCAAGTAAAAATTTAATAAATAAGGTGATACAAGATTTTTTCACTCTGGACTCTTAATGGTTTCCATTTCCTAGTATAATATAATTTATTATTATTAGCTAAACAATATAATTAAACTATTAATATTACTGTACAAAGAATAATTAGTATATATCAGATATTATTAATTTAAAAATAGTTAATAAAAATGTTAATTATGATAAAATGTAATAAATAAATTAAAATATCATTTTTTCATTTTATTTATTATATAATTTTATTATATACTTTTAATTTCAGTTAATAATAAAAATTTTAATGTATAAAATAACAGGTTATAAAACATTTTTTTTTTTCATAAATTTATATGTAATTATAATAAAATTTTAAAAAATTATTAACTTTTAAATTGTATAGAATTCTGAAAATTTTTAGAATTTTTTTTTGAAAAAATATATAATTATTTTAATATTACTACATGCTTTTATTACATTCTGAATTTCTGAAATATATATTCAAAGCTTAAAGTTGAAAATTGTGACATAAAAATGGTTTTTAGTTTATATATAATCATTTATTTAATTAAAATAAATAGTATAAATAAATAGTACTTTTTAAAATTGTATAACTTCAATTTTTTTTTTTTTATATAATAAAAATAAAAAAAATTTTAATAAAATAATTTACTTATATTTCTTTTTTATATTTAAGATATTTAAGAGACAGATCATCATTCAACCAGAGAAAATGATCGACATTTTATAATTAATTTTACGGCTTTGTAATTAATAAAAAATTTTTTTTTGGAATTTCTTGTTCTTTACTATAAATTTTTTTCCAATAAGTGAAAAAAAACAGTATACAATAACTTTCATGTCCAAAAAAAATATTTCATAAACTTGCACTATAGGTATACATATGTAGTTTTAGTAGAAACTGTACAAGTTTAACAAAGAATGTGAATATTAAAAAGATTCAAATAAAACTAAATAAAGATTTAAAAACAAAATAAAAAACCAAATATAGCTTAGTTACAGTGAAAAATGTTCAAAAATTTTTCATCCAATATTTGGGTTAATGGGAAATTTACTGTCAGAATTTTGCGTTTCTACATAGAAAAGTCAAAAACGTGAAACTCTAGCGATTTCAAACTTTGCAAGTGACTTAGCTAGGATTGTCACTATTAATTACCGTCTTTAAAATTTGTGTATCATATCACATGATGATATGACAATCTGGTAAAAAAGGAGTATTAGCCATTTTTAGTGATAATTTGCATAAATCGGCATTATTAAATTTCTTTGGTTGAGTGGCGATTTGTCCCTTAAATATAAGAATGAATTTATTTTTTACATTAAGTGAAATTTAATATTCTTATATTTCAAATCATAAAATGTTAAAAAAATATTTTTTTTTTTTTAAATTACTTATAAATTATAATTTTAAAGACTATATAAAAATCATTAATTTTAAAATAAATTGAATCTGTTAATTTATTTAGAAATATTTTGAATTGGTATTATCAATAATTTTGTTTTTAATATAATTTCAGCCAAAATTTATAATTCCGGCCAAAATTTCCTTTTAAGTAACGCTATACAATCTAAAAAGGCAATTTTGTTTTACGGGAATGTATTACACAAGATTCTGGGAAAAGAATTTTTATGTCGATCACTTAATTCCGGCCAAAATTAAAATTATCATGTGACGCCGGTGATGATCGCCATCTTACCAGTATCACCGACACTTTTTCCACCCCACGTGATTTTGTAATATTCATCACCGGCATCACACCCCACTGCGTTTTCACTGTTTATATTTATCTGAGGGGCAAATATATGAATCTTGACCTGTCACGTACGTGAAACTTGACCCACCTGCATGCACGTTGTCGATCCTATTCATGGTGTATTGTAAAATATATGTGATCAACAACGTGCATGCAGTGGGTCAAGATTAATCCATGTGACGGGTCAAGATTCATATTTTTGCATCTGAGGGACTCAGTTTTTTTTTGCCTTGCAAAATTATTTTTTTCACATCCCTTTAAATGTCACTGGTCACGTGGGGTGGAATTTTAATTATAAAAGTGTCGGGTAAATGATGATCGCCACCGGCGATAATAGCAAACTCCAATATATATATATATACAGTATATATATTGTATTTTAAAGAAAATTTTAATAAATTTATATTAATTGGTATTGATCTAATTACAGCTTGAGATTTTTTTTAAAAGTTTTAGGCTTACTATTATCACAGTATACTATTTGAATTATTTACTATAATTCAAATTTTCTTAATAGATGATTCTAATGGTATAAATCTCAACCATTAGATACTGAAATATTCAATATATACAATTTAAAATTTTAAACTTGATAAACTTAAGTTTACTACATTTAGGCCAAAACTTATATAACTTATGTAAATTATGCTACTATACTATTTGATGAATGTAAGAAACTATTATAATAAAAAACATTAATATGTATAAAATTGTTTCGTTATAAAAAAGTGGCTGGATAATTAAAAATTTGGGATTATCGGCATAAAAGATGCATCTGTAGAGATCTTTGAAAGCATTGTATAACAAAAGATCAGAAATTGTTCTTGAAAGAATACGAAAATTACCAAGGGTAAAATATGATAATGAGTTGCATTATACACAATGCATAGCGTTCTAAACAATACGTTGAATAGTTTTAATTAGAATAGCTTATAGCTTATTTATCTTTTATTTCGTCTTGTGATCTTATATTATGTCAAATTAAGTATCTATCAATTATCGAAAAACAGTTGTTTGATTATGAGTCAACATTTAAAACTCCTTGACCTCTTTCAGGATCTTGTAATCTATGTACACGAACATCAGGACCAGGCGAAACACTGCTCGCGTCCTGTGGAGTAATCAAAATATATTGTATGCGATCTGCAACACGTGCCGACTCGATCTATTTTTATATGGTAAAAATTTTATTAAGACGCGTAGAGTTTTAAGACAGATATCTTTATATTTACCATCATTTTCATGCTTATCCTACGGTTAACAGCGTCCATAAAAACATCAAACTCGTCAAGGCTTTAAAGTATAAATAAACAGAATTAAAATAGATTAGGGTAATAAATGGAAGTCAGCTTTATAATCTTACCACCGAATAGGACATCCCAAAGCTTCCCAAAGAGCCAATAATAAGCAAATAGTGGAGAAAGACTTTTCTCCGCCAGAAAGGGATTTCGGATCCTTGTCGTTATTTTGATTTAGTTGGTCATCAATCTGAACCTATATATCAACATTTTATTAGCTGCAATTTTTTTCATAATTTTCATAAGGGACAATTATTCAAAAATTTACGAACTCTCAGGGACAATTTATTACTCTGGTGGTCAAAGTCCAATTTTCCCGAATAACCACGTTTAGATAGTTGCATCGAAAATTGTATCCTAGCACGGACAGCAATAAACGTTCTAAAAAAATGCCACTTATGCATGCGATCATGCAAAGCCCGTCTGAGCTCCTAATATTATAATAAATTAATAAATTTTGAACTTGTTATTTTACAACACTGAAGAAAAACATTTTTAACGTTAACAATACATTGATAAATCGATCCATAAGCTTTATCTCATTACTCGCATTACGATAAGCATCTCGTGCAGCAGACATAGCTGATGAAACTTCTTCGAGACTTGCACCATGTCTTTGAGAGGGAAGAGAAAAGTCAAAAAGGTTATAAGATTCTAAGCTATTACCGAAATCATTCAAAATTTATTAAAAACGCACTCTCTTTCTCTCTCTCTCAATCGAGTACTAATTTCTTTTATTTCACGATCAAGTTCATGTGCTGGCTTCATAACTTCGACTCGTTCAGGGCAATAAGCTTTTGCTTGATCTATCCATTCCTGTATATTCAAAACATTGGCAATTGCATATAATTATATAATAAAGTTATAAATATACTTAAATTTAATAAATGAAATAATAAATACCTCAAGAGTGCGTTTTTTTTTATCAACTTCAGATGAAATTGACGCAATCCTTTCTTTTTCTGACGCTAATTTGTTTTCCCAGTGTTTTTTACTAACTTCGCTCTTTACTCGTATTCGAACCTTTTCTTCAATATTTGCCTTTTTTTGATAAACGAAAAGATAAAAACATATGAATATATATATATAGTATGAAGTATAATATCGGAGTTACTATTCACAACTCACGCCAAGACTTTCAGCCTCGCTTGACAGTGAATCCAGTCTCTGCTGAATATCTTCAAATTCATTCTCTAAAGGTTCATGTTCTTGAGTTATTTTTACCATTTTTCTTTGAATATTGGTATATTGTCCCACATACATTTCAATCTCTCGCTCAGTTTCCTGCGGAAATGTGATTATTTAGAATAGTAATATGTGATCAATTACATAACAAATCAACATTTTAAATATTATACTTTTATAACTTCTTCAAGAGCAGCGATGTTTGCTGGTACATCTTGCTAATATAAATAAATAATTTAGTACAAATAACTTATTAATATATTGATGTAAATGATAATTAACCTGCAGATCATCTTTTAGTTGTAGAATTTTGTTATATAATTCTTTTTCTTCCCGATGATCGTCTTGTAATTTGCACTACAAATTTGAATGAATAAATTATTATTTTTTTTTACATATAAATATATCACTAATTTAATATATTACTTGTAAAATCCCTTTTTCTTCATTTGCTTTTTTCAATTCAAATTTAGCTCTCTCCAGTTCAGCCTTGTAACGATTAGATGTTTCTTTAGTATCTGATAACTTCTTTTCCGTATCTCTAAATCATTTAATAAGAATAATAAGACTAGTTATTTCTTAAAATCTTTTTACTAAACAATAATAATGCGATAATTCACCGAATCTGGCGATCAATATCTTGATTAAATCTTGCTGGTCCTCTGTACTTATTGATAGATTGTGTTGAATATCCACCGCCCCTGAAAGTACGATGTTTTGAAAAGTTAATAATGGAATTTAAATTATAAACACAAAATTACTTACTTATGACCAACTTTATATCCATCGATAGTGTAACAACCCTCAACATTACGAGGAAACCCTTTTCCATTGTTATACATTATTTTATCAGCTTCCGCGCGATTTTCTACAAGAATTATCGATTCAATTCGATTATTATTGATGAGACGGCGTTTAACATTTTCATTTTCAATCTACGAAAATGTAACGTATTAAATTAGACTAAAGATCAAATTTAAGTAATGGTATAAAACATCGACTGGTATAGACACAAACTCTCAGCGATCGTAAAATGGTAAGAAATCGTTCATCCGGTTCTCCTATTGTGTAATCGAAACGATCATCCTCGCCGACAATAATTGGTGAATCACTAAGAAAGAATAATATAAAATTTAAGCATTTCGTACATAGATAAAGAAAAACTATATTATTATACTATTTTTACCACTTATATCTTTTCATTATGTCTGCCAAAAGCCTTTGATCATTGTGATTGTTAACAGCAAACGTACTCAAAGTATTACCGATTACAGATTCAAGAGTTTCGCTCCATTCCGGTTTTAGCAATTTAATAAACAACCCAAAAGGTCCCACAGGTTTTCTATGCCATCTACGCTCTCTATTGATAGCGCTAAGAACATCAGGTATTGCTTGACCAAAAATCTTGAGACGATCACTCTTCTGATCACTTAATTGTTGCAAAAGTCTTTCATAACGTATAATTTCTTCTTGACATCTTTGAAGTTGACCTTCCCAAGAAAATTTTTGACTTTGGATGTGATCAATTTTTTCTTCAAGCTCAGTTAATTGTGATTTACATTGCTTCTGTCCTTCTATTAATGCTGCATGTTGTTCTTCTGATACTTTAATAGCGTTTATTATTTCGTTACGTTTTTGGAGATTATCATCCTTAAGTTTTGATGTTTCCTCGTTTATTCTTTGTTGATGTCTTTCAACATCTTGTTTTAAGCTTTTAATAGAATCATTGATTTCTCTTTCTTCGTTCTATAGGCGATGCATATATGTTACGTTAATATACAAATCGTTAAATCTTTCAAATTTCTCTTTACCTTTAGTTCGTTTAGTTGCTTCACTTTATCTCTGATATGAGCATTTAATTCTTTTTTCTTTTCTTTCAAAGGATTGATAGAAATATTTGTCAAACTATGATATTTTTGTTCCAAATCAAGGACAATTGTATTAATTTCTTCAAAATCAGCCTACATTAATTATGAAACAGAATTAAAGATTAGAAAACTCTGCTGTAAGGTGTTTTTTGCATATGATTTCTGTAACTGCCTTTTTTTTAGAAGCGTCGTGATTACTCGATAATGAACGAACATAATTATTCTTACCTCCTCCTTTTCGAGTTTTTCTTGTAAATTCGGTAAACGTTTCATGGCCCGTTGTAAATTCCTTTCGGCGTCATTAACGATCCGTTCTTGTTCTTCAACCTGAGCCCAAGCCATTTGTTCCTTCAATGAAGAGAGGGACTTTTCAAGTTCACGAGCTCTTTGCATGTCCTTAAATCTTGCTTCTGCTTCTTTAGCCTCTTTGAGAAGGTCAGGTAGAATTTCATTCTTGTATTTGATGATTTCTCTTGTAGTATCTATACTTTCGCGAATAAGTTCGTAATCAGAACTCAATTGAGCTAAATGTGTTCCTTTCATGAAGAACTTATGAAAAAATATTTTAAATATTAATAAATTTGTAACTGCGATTCAATATTTCATAAATGAAAATATACCTTATATTTATCTTCGGGACTTGATGTGTGTAAAAATTGACGTGCAGTATCTTGAGATAACACATTCAAAGGGTTATCTACTTGTATCGCCATATGATCCAAGATTGCGTTCAAATCTTCTCGTTTTGTGGAAACTGTCTTTCCATCTTGAGTTTTTAACTTGTATCCATTACTTCCATCACGAGTAATTCGACGTTCAATAATGATTGAATCGCCATATATTTCATGACGAAAAGCGTCTTCTCCACGATTTCGAAGCTTCAAAGTAATTTGTGCAACACTATAAAATATACATGGAATACATGGAATGAGTTTTTTTTCGTTAGCGAAACAGAAAAAAGGGGATAAACATATATTAATTACTTGGCTCCTTCACGAATAAGCGATTTTAAATTTGAAGCACGATTTGTAACATTAGCTTTTCCCCCAAGGCAGACCGTGATTCCTGTTAAAATTGCACTTTTTCCACCTGAACAAAATAACAAAATTTAATAAATCGAGTTGTAAAAGGAAATAAAAATCAATATATTCAATATCACACTTACTCCCATTATGTCCTATAATGAAATTGATTTTAGGACCAAAAGACACTTTAAGGAATTTATGGCACATAAAATGAACTAATTCAATTGATTCAATAACGGCAGATTCTGCCGTAGACTAAATAATAATAATAATTTAATTGATTAAAACTATTGATATTGTTCATTCTGTATTTAATAATAATTAAATTCTTTACTCCATTATTCCTTTTGCGAAGCATTGTTCTTTCAAATTCCTCAACAACTTCATCGTTTTCAAAATTATCTTCTTCTATTATATTGTTAGGAAACGCGCTTATCTCTTCTGTTGTTGAGCGACGAGCGCGTTTTGGATTAATATACCTTGATTTTGACTTAAACCTTGACCTAGCTTGACGCTTTCATATTGTCGTAAATTAAATTTTAGTATACTAAATTGGGCAATAATTTTTACTTGGCTCAGAGCCAAGTGCCTGTTTCCACTTCTATAATTGAGGTTTTCGAAGCAGTGAAATATGAATAAATATTACTTACTTGATCGTCAGTTGACTCAGCTTCCTCTATTTCACTTTCAATGATTTCCCGATATTGTCTTTTTGAAGACGACATTGTATTATTTTGAGAGTAAAAAACTATACAAAGCTCCTTTCGTAAATTTATACCAAAAGTCCGAAGTCCGAAGCCTGATGTAATACGAACGCGTGATTTACTTTCAACAAATTGCTGATCAGCTGATCAGTCACTAATATGTCGCAGGAGTGATCACAGTATTCACTATTTTTATCTCTCGCGTCTTTTTTTTAATGAATCGTCCGGAAGGCATAGAACAAAATTATGAGCGTTTCATAATGATACTATTTTTTTTTTAACAGATATTTTGATACTTTTGATACTTTTGATAGGCAAAGTTGTTTAACAGGACCAGCACACAAAAAGTTTTTGAAATGATCTAAAATCGTTTTTTGCGTCGGAACATGTGACCGGAATAAATAAATTTTACCGGAATTTAGAAGGGTCGGATGATTATAATCGTTTGGAATAATCGTATTTGTATTGTTAATGTTTCCGAAATCAATAAATCTTCTGCGTCACGTTCCGGGTTTAAAAAATTTTCACGGATTTAGCACGTATCCACCTTAACGTACGCACCACCGTGCATGCGATTTCATTGGGTGACGATCACGTGGAGGACAGAGAAATTCACGTGATCGATTTTTTTTTTCATAGTGCGTCAGAGACGCAAATTTTTATTACCTTAGTAAGAAACATTTGATAATTCTAGCCGGCTTACATCTTAATGCAGGCCAACTTAGGTTGCGCTGTAGGGCGTCCTTAACGTACAGTAGGGGTGTACAATATTAACGTACAAACTGGCCCGAGTTTAGGAGTTATGCACTTGCACGTGATAGCGTTAACGTTAACTCCGGCCAGTTCGTACATTAATATCGCTGTACATTAAGCAATCCCTGCGCTGTAACACCACAATAATTTTAGCCAAAAACGATTGAAATGCTAGTTTTTTTACAAATTCTATCACGATATAGTCAAACTCCCTAGCGTATATAGTCAATAAAATATGCAATGATGATTGGCTAGTTGTCACGTGCCGGAATAAAATTGTCAAAAAATCATAAAAATTCCGTTTTATTCCATAATACAGCAAAAATTCCGATTTATTCATTTATTATAAAAATAACTACCAGTGAAAATTTAGCGATCACGTGACCAATTTTAGGTAGGTTTTGAATACAGATTTTTGTAAAATTAATTATTTACGAATTATCATATAAAAAGTCAAAAATTTATATTTAAAATGTATTTTTCTCGTCTAGGTAAATTTGTAGAGCGTTCAAAAATACACATACCATGTAAGTTTAAAAAATGTATGGCATTTATATTGTGTTTTATTCTTATTTTTTTATTTATAAAAATGGAATTTTCCCGGGTTTCTGTAGTGCGTTCGCTTCGATAATTTTCAGATCACGTGAATAATTTGATCTCAAACATTTTAACATTTTCGTCTTAGATTTCTTTCTGCGCCACTTAAGATCCGGATAATTTTTTTTTTTTTGCAATACTACTATATAAGCTATATAAGGCTTAATGTCCATCTTTTTTTTTAGGAAGATTTATTTGAGATAACAAATGAATTTTACGCGCTTTTTTTTTCGTTCTTTAAGTCGTTCCTCTAACGCTGCTTTTTTAAAGCAACAAAGACACGTTATTGTTGGCTCAAAATCTTACTCGATACTAAAAAGTTCAACTCCAAGAAAAGCTGTTAGTGTTAAGGTACTTACCACTTAAAAATAAAATAGATAATCTAAGCTAGTCTATGATAATTAATAAATTGAAATACAAAAATTATTTAAGCAAGGTCAATTATTACTAGTTATTTTACTTTATTTTATTTTGAATTCCAACGAATTAAGGTTAATACTTTAAACGATTTAAAACACTCTCACTCAAATCAAATTCGAACTATGAAAACACTCGATTTTGGTGGAACTAAAGAAGTTGTCTATGAGAGATCCGATTGGCCAAAAGAAAAATTTCAAGAGTTTTTTAAAAATGATACAATTGCTGTAATTGGATATGGGCCTCAAGGAAGTGGGCAAAGTTTGAATGCACGTGATAATGGATTAAATATTATCATTGGACTTAGAGAAGGTGGAAGAAGCTGGAATGAAGCATTGGCAGATGGCTGGGTGCATATTATTTATTACCATATATATTTGAGATTCACGTTTTTATATTGACGTAACTGCGATTATCGCATTATCAAATAAAAATAGGTTCCTGGAAAGACACTCTTTCCTATTGAGGAAGCCCTGAAAAAAGGAACGATTATTTTTAATCTCTTGTCAGATGCTGCACAAAAAGAACTTTGGCCTAAATTTGTACCACACTTAACAAAAGGAAAGACTTTATATTTTTCTCATGGTTTCTCTATTGTGTTCAAGGATGAGACTCATGTTATACCCCCAAAAGATATTGATGTAATCATGGTTGCGCCAAAAGGGTGTGTAATCATTATTTCGAAATTTTATAATTAGCGTTCTTTTCGAAAATTGATTTTTGATTTGGTTTATATAGATCAGGAAGAACTGTTCGTTCTCTTTTCCTTGATAAACGTGGCATAAATTCCTCTATTGCAATCTTTCAGGATGTTTCTGGTAAAGCAAAAGATACTGCTGTAGCTCTTGGTGTAGCCATCGGGTCAGGTTACCTTTATGAAACAACTTTTGAAAGAGAAGTTTTCTCTGATCTTTTTGGTGAACGAGGTGTACTTATGGGTGCAATTCAAGGTTTATTCCTTGCACAGTATGAAGTTTTAAGATCACGTGGACATACACCCTCCGAGGCGTTTAATGAGACTGTGGAAGAGGCAACTCAATCATTGTATCCATTAATTGGCGCAAATGGCATGGATTGGTAAAACATCATGTTACATCAATGATATATGATTTACTTATTATTTGGTATTTAATATATGACATTTAAATAAAGGATGTATGCTGCTTGTTCAACAACGGCTCAACGTGGTGCTCTTGATTGGTATAAGCCATTCCGTGATGCAAACAAACCAGTTTTTGAAAGATTATACGAAGCTGTAGCTAATGGAAGTGAAACTCGTAGAGTTTTGGAAAAGAACTCCTCGCCCACATATCGTGAAGAATTAGAAAAAGAGCTAGAAGAAATTAGGTAATTTATTATGACATGTTATAGTTATTATATATATTTTATTAATTGGTTGTATTCTATTAGGGAAAGTGAAATATGGAAAACTGGTAAGACTGTTAGAAATCTCCGTCCGGAAAATAAATAAAAAAAACTAAAAAAAACTTCTTTTATGTAAGTATATTATATCAATTAACAACGTATATATAAATTATATTATACTTTATATGATCCTCTAATTAAATTAAATTAGATTTAATAAATTGAATGAATTTATTCGTTTCATAAATTTTGGAAGTTTCTTTTACCATTGATAATTTAGCGTTGATAGTCTAATTCCGAGAGGCAGTTCATGATTTCGGATTTTTTTTTTTTAATAATTAAATTATTGATATCATGCTTGCATCTATTTATTTAGGACGCACCAATATTGAATAATTTGAAATTAGCACTAGCAAATTTCGATACTAAATAATAAAATTTTATGATTATACTTTTAAAGGAAAATCGTATGACAATAAATATTCGCCCATTTTTTTATTGATCTTTTAAAGATATGAGATATTCAATTGTGTATATATTTTCATCGCATCTATTAATAATAAAATTTTAAGGTTAATTAACACGACTTCAAACTATTAATGAATTACATAATTCAATGATCAATTACTTACATTTTAGCCAAATCCTCTAGAGTTTTTCCAATAGCTTTTTGTAAAAATCGCAATATACTCGAAAATTGATTGGAATATTGTCTTAAATATTTTCCATGTATAGCTAATAATTTCATTATCCATAATAAATGAAATTCAACATGAGGAGATTCTTCAATGTTACTAGCAATAAATTTTAATAATTTTTCTATATATTTTTCTGGAAAATCTTTTACTATTAATTCGATATTTTCAGGTGAAATTTTTTCATAAACTTGATGAATTAAATATAATTCATTAAGTCTAAATGACATAATAAGTGCTTTAAGATATTCCTCTGAACGTAAAGTTTCTAATATACTTTTAGGTGTTATATCAATTTCTAATTCAAATGGATCAAATAACAAGTTTTCATCTAATGAATAAATTAATAAACCTTCTGTTGATGCTGCTGACCATGATTGTCCTGTTGGTGAAAATTTTATAGATTTTGTACGAATTTCTGGGCGTGTTTTACGTATTGAAAGATCTCCTTTCTGTGTCCCTGGTAGACTATTATCTAACCTATCTTCTAAATCGCTTAATTCTCCCGTTTCATCTATTAAATCAAGTGGACCAGCTTCTGTTATATTTTTACTATTTAAAAATTCCTGTATTCCATCTAGAGATAAATTATGAGAGATTTGAAATTTTTTTAAAAGCAATTGACTTTTCGCATCATAAAGGCAAACATATTTGCTATTTCCTCCTGCTAATATACATGATCCATCAGCCGTATAACATAAACTATTGAATGATTTTCCTGAAGAAGAATTCGCAGCTGTGGTTCTATCATTGGCTCTCCTACCTCCAGAAATATCTTTACGACCTTCAATAGTACCAGTTTGAATACCATTTTCAACATCCCAAAAAATAATTTGACCATCTAATGTAGAAGTTGCTAATTGTTTTCCATCAGGACGATAAACTATAGCTAATACATCTGAATTATGGCGAAATATTTCAACATGTTTTCCACGATTAAATACATCCCATGTACGTGTCGTACCATCCCATGAGCCAGAAGCTAATTCAATACCAGACGGACTAAAAGCTAAAGAACTTATTGGTCCTTCATGGCCTGCTAACACATCTAAAAGTTTACCGGTTTGGACTGACCAAACAAAAATTTCAAAGGTATCCATTGAACCGGCACATACAATTTCTCCACTGGGGTCAACTGCCAATGCAGTAAATTGGACCGGTGAAGGTGATGTAAAGGTTCTAAAATTCCTATAACGGATTAAATCGAATGCTCTAACAGTTCCATCTAAAGATGCAGAAAATAACACTTGTCCGTTTTTCGCGAATTCCACCACCGACACACCTGAAGAGTGTTCAGAAAACGTGACAAAACAAAATCCAGATACAGTATTCCACACCTTAACTTTTCCATCATCACCTCCAGTCGCAATATTCTGACCATCTGCTGAATATGATAAGGTATTCATATCATAATAATGTCCTTGTTGCTTAAGAACATATGATTCAGATTGCCATTCCCAAACTAGAAGCTGTCCTAATTTCGAAGATCCGAATGCTAGCCATTCTCCAGTAGCATTAATTGTCACAGAATCAATCCTTTTTTGTGAAATACTCAAAGTATGAATATTGTTAAATTCTGGCATTTCCCAAATTCCAAAAATTCCAGATGAAAAACCAATAACTAGTAATTTTGACGCTGCGTGGTAAGCAGAACAAACAACTTTTGCACTAGATTGATTAAAATAATGGCGCGAAACTATCACCCATTTCTTTGCTAGTTGAACGTCTTCTTTTTTATCAATATCCATTTCATCATCCTCATCCTCCTCCCTTTTTATTTCATTAAATGCTTTGTATTTCCAAATAAATAATGCACCGTCTTTACTGACAGTATAAATCTAGGGGAAAAAATTGTAAATTATTTGTTTATCCTGAACAAATAAAAATATGAAAATATGTATTTACTTACTGTTTCCTGATCAGAAGAAAAATATGCACCAATTACGTAATTTCTGTGTCCTGCTAACGTAATTGGTGTGAATCCTTCTATGGGATGAAGAGAATAAATTCTTGCAGTCATGTCTTTTGAAGTGGAAATAAAAAATCTTTGCAAAAAATTATTAAAATATTAGATTAATAAATTAGCAATCAAGTTAGAGAATAGATGAATTTTTTATCTAAAAATTTACCGAGAATCGCTCGTCCAAGTTATAGATGTGACATCATCAAAATGACCTGTATACTTTCGATGTAATACGAATGGAGCAAATTCACGATTAAATCCTGGAGATTTCCAAACTTGAATATGCTTTCCAAGAGCAACAGCGAAATATCTAATTCAATTTATAGTTAAACTAAGCAATTAATTTAAAATAATTAATAATAATGAAAATACTTACTTGCCATCATTACTGAATTGGACATCTTCAGCTGGCGATTTGAAATTGAAATAGTGTAACACTACGCGACGATGAAAATTAATTAAAAGTACTCTTCCATCTAAAGTTATATAAAATTAACGTTAGATGAGTTTATAAAAAATATTTTAAAATAGGCTTAACAAACCTTCATCAACTGTAAGCAACAAATTAGCATTTGGAGACAAGGCTATTCGTTTGATGTTTTTTTTACTTTCAAATGGAAAAGTAAGGGATTTATTGCTTCGAAATAATAAACAAAAAAAAAATGTAAATTTCACTATTTATAGTTAAATATAAATTTCATAATTCTTAACTATAGAGGTAATACTTTAAAAGATCAAACATCGAAACACGGTTTCCAACCGGACTTAATAATGAATTTCCATCAGAAGTAAACAATAAATTTCCTTGGGTATATACTGTTCCACATAAATTAGAAAACTTCAGACAGAATAAAATATATTAATATAACTAACTCATGTATTGAGTGTGGTAAATTTAGTTACAAAACAATTACCTTAAAATCGGTCTTCATTTTCTTGATAAGAAAAGTTGATTATCTATAAAATTTTGTGGTTCTACTTCTACGGGTCTACCCGCAATTACCCGACATACCTTAATCGAAGACGCGTCTGACAATTGGGTGAGTGGCATAATGACCAATAAAATGGCCACATTCGTTACTTGATCAGCACTTAAATTTTGAATGCGCGATTGAAGATTATTATCAACGTACGAATTTCAGTTATCTGAAATAATGTCTATCTCAAAAGTTGTTAAAGATCTTAAGGGACGCCTTGATGAAAAAGTCTGTATTATTACTGGAGGAGGAAGGTAAAAGGCTTTAAAGTTTTATTATCGAGTAATAAATAAAGTTTTTTTACGTGTTATTTTTTTTCCCACAGCGGTATCGGTTTTGAAGCATCAGTTCTTTTTGCCCGAGAGGGAGCTGACGTCGTTGTAGTTGATATTGATCTTAAAGCGGCCGAAGCTACTGTTGAAAGAATTAAGGAAAAAACTGGACCAATACATGTTCGTAAACATGCTATTGCTATGAAATGCGACGTTTCCAAGGAAGCTGAAGTTAAGAAAGTTGTAGAAGACACTCTTAAAGAATTTGGTATATATAATTATTTACTTTAAGGTTTTGAATTTGGTTTTTAATCATACATTTTAAATAGGTAAACTTGATGTCATGTTAAATAACGCGGGTATTATGCATGCTCATGATGATGATGCTCTCAATACCGATGAAAAAGTTTGGTGAATATTAATATAACAGGGATTTTTTTTTTAGTTCTTCCTTAATTGATCTTTTATCATAATTAAGGGATCTTACCATGGATATTAATCTTAAAGGAGTCTGGTTTGGATGTAAATACGCTATTGAAGCCTTCCGAAAAAGGAAGAATGGTGGTAATATTATTAACATTGCAAGTTTTGTAGGATTAATGGGCTCAGCAACTCCTCAATTAGCATGTAAGTAATAACATTTATATATTAAGATTCAATATGAAATTAATTTAACAAGCCTTTTATAGATACCGCATCTAAAGGTGCAGTTATAGCATTGAGGTATGTAAAGTTTATTTTATATATAATTATTGGAAGTTCTCTAATATTCATTTGTCTTTTCTAATCCGAGTGAAGTCGGGAATTAGCAATTATTCATGCACGCGAAAATATTCGTGTTAATGCATTATGTCCTGGCCCTTTACGTACTCCATTATTAATGAATTATCTTGATACGGAAGAAAAGAAAAATAGACGCTTAGTTCACATTCCAATAGGAAGATTCGGTGAACCTATTGAAATAGCTAATGCTGCTTTATTCTTAGCTTCAGATGAATCAACGTACGTTACAGGTGTTGAGTTTAAGGTTGATGGTGGTCTCACCGCTGCTTATGTGGTAAATTTTACAAGTACTGTATGTAGAAGTAAATAATATTTAAATTTGTAATAACTTTTGTTATTTTTATGTTTTAGACACCTGAAGGACCTTGCACTAGCGTACCACCAAAAAACTTTAAAAAAGTTTCGGAAGAAAAGAATTAATGATGATAATTGTGAATTGTATTAGTGTTTATTTAAAGTGAATCATATGTATTTTTAGCAATAAAATAAGAGTTTTTATTATAATGTTTATACATGTGAATATTTATACATTTGGTGATAATATTACATGATCTATTTCTAAAATAATAAAATGCCTTACGAATGAAAATTTTTTTAATCTTTATTTAATAGAGGTAAACGCTCATAAACCTCATTTTTTAATTCTCTAAAACGGTGCAATCTTTCCATACCATAGGAAAGATAATCAAAATCAATTTGACTTTGACCTGATTGTACCAAGCCCCATAAGCCCCACATGACATGACTTGCTAAAGTAAAAGCATAAACTTCTAATTTAAGCTTTTGTAAATAATTATCATGAGTCTCGGAGGGATTATTGATTGTATGATCACTGGGAATAGAATAGGCATCTATATAAGCCCGGAGAAAATCAATTTGTTGATCTTCATTTGGGTATAAATCTAAATTCATTTTATGTGGAACTGACGAACGATAATCATACGTCCACTCACAAAAGTGGTTGGCGATGTCGAATGCCTGATAATTATAGCCGGCGTACTCAAAATCCACTACGACTAAACTTCCATCTGTCAGTCGTAGAATATTCCCGTATTGTGTCTAAATTATTAAATTAAATTAGAATGATTATCATTCAATACAACGTGGACCACCGACTTTAAACTTATACTTACATCATTATGTGCAAAGACAATTGGGGAATCAATATTGTGGCTAAGTTTATATTTGAGTTCTTCAATCTCATCTTTCAACATTTTAAAATCAAATTCTTCTAGACCTTTTCTTTGTTCTTCAGTACATTTTAATGAGGATATAGCGTTTAACGCCAACGGATACCATTTGTCAATATTAACCCAAACCTCAGGCTTAATGTTCTCCTGAGGAGGTGGACATATATTTATAATATTATGTAATTGAGACAGACGCTGAGCAATATATTTTGAAGTTGATGGATCTCGTAAATCATTACTTTTTAATGTCTCGGATTCAAGGTGTTGCTCGAAACGACCATTTTTAAACACACCCAATAATTTTGGTCCAATCTTCAAGTTTGATAACATCTCTAAAAAATTTAATTCTTTTTGTCTATCACATAGTTGATCTACACCGTTACCATACACTCTTAATAAAACTCGCAGAGGTTTTTTATTTTTAGTTTGATCATGTAATTTCTTTGTTCTCGTGATGAAAAACACGCAATTTGTAAGAGCTCCGCTAACACGCTCTATTTGAATGTCGCTTTCATTAGAGACGTCCCAACCTGGTAACATATCAGTTATAAGAGGAATAAGCGCATTACGTAATGTTACATTATCATCGTTACCTAATTTTCTATATTAATATCCAATAAAGAAGGGTTTAAATAATTTCCCAAAAAAAAAACCATTTAACTGAAAAAGTAATTATTAAAATGAATGCTTACTCTAAATCAAGTATAGTGTCACTTTCAGGTATCAGTCTTTCTCTTTTAGGTATCGATCTTTCCTTCGTAAAATGATTTTTATGTTTATGTTTATCGTTACTATTACTCCTATTTTTCTTAATTTTCTCATGATGATCTCTTTGAGAATCGTTACTTTTCTTTGCCATTAATACTGTCGATGAAGAACTCTTCCTTCCAATCAAATGTGTATTAGCAGAATCATGTCTAACATGTTTATGTGAATTAGAAGTAGAAAGTAGCGGTTGAGTATCTACAGATGACATTTTCTTTTTTTAATAAGAAATTTTTTTGATAAGAAATTTTTTTTAAAAAAATAGAGAATCCAAAAATTGGCGACTATATATATCGAATTGATGTTTCACATTCCCAAGAATTGTGAAAGGTCTTGTGATGGCTTGTGATGTATTGTGACATAACCATTTTTGGTAATAAATGAATATTGCCCCCAAAAATTACGCCAATAATACCATTTCTACATTTTCCGGTAATTCATGTGAAATGCATGTATCATATGATCGTATGTTTACGTAAGGTATTCTTTAAAAGTTGCGTAATACTCGTATTCTCAGACAAAAGTGGGCAAAGAATTCTTTTTATTGAATAAATGGCGTTGATTATAAATATTTGATAAAAACGCGTTACCTTCATACTCCTCCTTGGCGTTTATTGTAAATAGAAACAAAGGAAGAGTTCGAAAGATTGTTAAATTCGGAGCAAATTTCAGATCGGCATACTGTAATAACCAATGAACGTGATTACCAAAAAAGGTAAGGTCTATTGTAATAATGCCATACTTGCATGCATGCAGTTAAAATATTGTACAAAATTTATTAAAAAGTGTAGTTCCATTCAAATATAATCAAATAAAGAAATAACATATATTTTTATGGATTACGTACATAAAATAAAAAAAAAGAGAGAAAAAAAAAAAATAATAAAATAATATATATAAAATCAATTTATGCCAGTTAATAATTAATGCATTCACTACAAACACTTATAAATTACTTAAGGTTCTTCTAATCGAGATCTAGCCTATTATTATTAAGTTAAGAAGAATTGTTTAAATAATAATATAAATTGATAATTCAAACTCTTATACTTACAAGTTTCTTTGCCATTCCATAATATGTGTTCTGTCCATCATCTAAAAGGCTGTGACTTTGCGAAGCTCCAAGTCCAACTCCTGCTGTATAAATCTCTGGTTGGATTGGATCAACTATGCCATTTTTATTTTTACCCAAACCTTCTCCTGCCTTCCATCCCATATTTTGTAATAAACGGTTTCCAATATTATCTTCTCCAATTCCATATTTTGTGGGTTGCTCAAATGTTTCTTCAACTGAATTAGATGAACCAGACGTAGCAGGTTGTACGGGCCTCCTCGGCTGACCATAAATTTTCCTTCTTTGTGCAGCTCTATTATTATATTTTGTCTAAATGATAAAAAAAGGAAGATTTAAAAATCTTTCATGTTTTAAATAATAGTATATAGTTTTTGTACCTGAGATTTTTCATCATTTTGTAATCCATATGCTCGTTTCATACGAATAGTTTGTACCAAATGTTCATTCTCCAAATTCGACTTCAGATATTACGAAATATATATAAAAATAATAATAATTAATGTCTATGAATTAAGGATAATGAAATTCCAATGAAGCACACCTTATGTAAATCTGACATTTGCTCATGTTTCTGAAGTTCAGTAAAATCTACAAATTGTCGTTGACATAATAGGCATGCATTTAACGTATAATCGAAAAGACCGTCATCACTTAATTCAGGCTGTATATTGTATTATTAAAATAGTACATTTTAATAGCCAGGAAAACAACACTACAGTTTAATTTTTATATACCTGATTTGTATGTAATTCTTCCTTCCTTTCATTCCATTTTTGCAATTGTTCATGAACCTTTATATATTAAATTTGACGCATATACATAAGAACTTAAATAAATTACATCATAACTACGCATTTAATATTTACCTTCTTCTTTCCAATTGGCTTGTTTAACTTCTTTTTCTTTTCTTTAACTAAATAAAAGAAAAGTAATACGTAAATGTAAAGCAATAAAATTGGATTACATTTAGAAAAGTGAAATTCTGTACAAAAAAACTAACCTCCTTTCAAAGGATCCTTAGACATTGATATCGAAACTTCATGTGAGACTTCGTTTTCTTCAATTGTTTCCGAATCGTGGCCACTGGGAGAACCAATTATTATTAACAAATAATAAGACAAGTGCGGTATGACCGAGAGGGGGAACGATAAAAACGTGGCGAAGAGATAAGAAACAAGGTGGAACAATTGGGTTAACAAAAGCTACGGAAATATAAGTTTTCTCGATGCTCTGCTTCATTCATATTATTCTCGGTTATAAACTAACGTTTCTGGTGATAAAGAATCTCTTGAGATACTTGAATTAAATTGATTGATTTGTTGTGAAGTTACTTGCTGTTCGTGATTTATGGTCTCCCGCGGAGAATGGCTTCCTGAAGGCTGCTCGTGAGTCATGTCATCCCCTGCAGATAGCATATTTTTGTCATCAGAAAATTGTTGGCCTTCAACTTCTTGAGACTCAATTTCAGGAGTTGTTGAATTGGTAAACATTTCTTTGTCTAGACAAATAAATAGTAAATTCATAATGATATAAAAAAAAAAAAAAAATAGAAAATAATAAAATTAATCTTACTCGTAGATTGATTTGTGTCAACTTTTTGTTCAATTTCAAGATCAGCATAAAATGCACTAAGCTCAGAATCCTGATTTTTCTTTGGAGAAGAATTTGACTTATTATGATTATTTGAAGTTGAAACCATATCAGAAACTGAAAAGATAGATTTAGTTTCGGCTTTTCCGGTAGATGTCAAAACCGCGCCCATGTCTGAATAGAAAGCATTCAATTCATCTTCAACATTCACTAAATTTTTTTTTTTAAAAATTTTTTTTTTAGAGTTTAAAAAAACCAAATAATAACTGCATCAGAAGAACAAAACGAATTCTGTTAAAGAAGTAAATAAACCGCACATTTTGTATCAGGAACAGCAACTGATTCTTTTGACTCTTCTGCTAGGCTCTCTTTTCGATTTTTACTTTCAGCCTCGTATACAGAAGCCGAACTTGTAGACGATGAAGTTGCATTGGGCTCAATTTGGACCGAATGTTGTGATCCGCCATATTCAACTGCATATGCTTTTTGATCCCAATACGACATGGCAATTCCATCATCTCCCCAAATAGTCCACTCAGTAGTAGCATAAGCCGGTATAAAACTTCCGGGGTGAGCAAACGTTATACTAACAATTCGTGAGTCAACTACAAATCCTCCTGGATAATATTGAGGATCATTAAAAATTGACAAGGCATATGAAGATGTCTAACGATACGATTCGGCAGTTAGTAATATTTTTCGCATTATGTTTAAAAACAAAAAAAAAGAAAAAGAAAATAATAATAATAATTTGTTTTCTTAAATAAAAATTAAGTAACCTGAATATCATGATAATCTAAAAATGCAAAACCCCATGACATCCTAGAAGCTCGATCTTTAATCAACAAAACCCTCCTTAAAGCTGCCAACTGACTTATAGTAGCATAAAGAGTCTCTTCGGTAGTTAAAGGATCTAATCCACGGACTAATAAGATATGATGTGGAACTTGACCTAAATCATTTTCTCCATCATTAAAGAACGAATTGGTAGGTGCCAGATGTAGTGAACCAGACACCATGGATTCTGCATCGCCAAATATAATTAAAGATAATGTGAGAAACCATACAAATAATAATATATATGGGATTCTGGAGCAAGTCGTTTATAATTTAAATAGTACGACTTGATGTCCAAAAGGACTCTGTGGTATTCTCCACAATCTAATCACACCTTTCTTCGAATGATGACATTGATGGCAACTTTCGCGTTTTTTGTAATTGAGAAAACCGCACTAATCGAAAAAATTTTTATTAAATAAAAAAAAAAAATTATTTCAAATTATCCAAACTTATCTCATACATACATTCTTGCAAGCCCAACCTTCATCCTCCGCGGATGCGCTATTACTGTATTCAACACGAACACGAATATCCTCCATCATGATAAAAGGGTGATTGGCTTCTACGAATTGTCTTGCATGCTCAACGCTCGTAAATTTAACAAAGGCAAATCTGCGTGAATCTCCTATTAATAAAATTCAAAGTTTATATTTATTACAAAACACTAGAAATTCTCTCTTTATTTCATAACATTTATACGCTCCAATATAAGTGTTAAAGATAAACCTGTGCGGCGATCCCTAATTAAGCGTATATTCTCAATACTAGCGTGCAAGTTATCAAGTGTTTGTTGAATCTAAATTTAAACAAACAGTGGTTATATATTTATATATTTATATATATTGAGGAAAATTTATAATATAATTCAACACAGGAAAAAAAAGTGAAACGAACGTCATTTTCGGTAGCTGCAAGTGGCAACCCTTGTAGAATAACATGATTATTGGGTTCACCAAGATTTCGTTCCCTCCAACGTCCCTAATTTTTGTCAAAAAGCATTCATTTAACAGTTTTGAAATGCATAAAAAAAAATTAACATAAATCTATATTAAACCTCTGGAGCTCTCTCTCTTTCATGTCTAGTTTTTCTTCTTTTACTGTTTTCCTCACGATCGTCATAATGAAACTTATTTCCCCAAGAGCGTGCACCAATATCATCTGGTCTACCTCTTTGAAGGAAATCCTCTCTCCAATCTTCCTGCCTATTTATTCCGCCAACTGCCCTATAACGATCTACACTACGTGATCTACTACGAGACCTACGACGTCGATAATATCTGTTGTCTTCACGGTATTCACGTTCACGATTATCTCTACCATAGTCTGGGCGGTATGTTTGATTACGGCTGTAACGAAAATCCGACATTTTAAGATGTTAAAAAGCAAAACCTGGTGTTTCAAATGAAGTAAAATGAAGTTTATTCAAAACTTTTTCGCCAATCAGATCAACCGTTGCGTAACGGCCCGATATTTACCGATATTTTTACAATTAAAATCAGATGACATTAACTAACTTGACTGTATCACTTTCTTTTTATTCGGTTTTATATAAATGTCTTCAATTTCTTTTACTTCAAGTAAGCTTCTACATAGATCCGCCGTTAATGCGTATAAGAAATTTGTGATTATTACTAACCACCAATTTTTGATAATTAGGTAATAAACTTAGTCGTGAAGATTATCGCCGTCAAAAAGATCTTGAAGCCGCAAGAAAAGCTGGTACAGCTCCTGCAGAACAGGATGAAGAAGGAAAAGACATTAATCCTCATATACCACAATATATTGCAAAAGCACCATGGTATCTTGATACGGGTCGGCCTTCTTTAAAGCATCAAAGAGTTCAAGAAAAGGAAGAGCAAATAATAAATGATAAATGGTATGCTCGTGGAATTCGTGCTGGACCTGCAGCTACTAAATTTCGTAAAGGAGCTTGTGAAAATTGTGGTGCAATGACACACAAAACAAAAGATTGTATGGATAGACCAAGGAAAACTGGTGCGAAATGGAGTGGTAAAGATATAAAAGCTGATGAAATCATCCAAGAAATTGAATTAGATTATGATTCCAAAAGAGATCGGTGGAATGGTTATGACCCTTCAGAGCATGCTAAAATTTATGATGAATATGAAAAGATTGAAGAAGCTCGTCGCAAAATGAAAGCTAGCGAGCTTGATAAGCAAAGTACTACAGAATTAGTAAAGAAAACTGGTGAACGAACTGCTGGAGAATTTTCTAGTGAAGATGAAGAGGATGATGAAGATAAATACGCCGAAAGATCGGATATGCCGGGTCAAAAAGTTAATACAAAAACAAGAACGACTATCAGAAATTTGAGAATTCGTGAGGATACTGCTAAATATTTAAGAAATTTGGATATTGATTCCGCATATTACGATCCCAAAACTCGTTCCATGCGTGATAATCCTAATAAAGAAGTGGATGAGAGTGAAGCATATTACACAGGGGACAACTTTGTTAGGTATACGGGAGATGCCCCTAAAATGGCCAATCTTCAACTCTTTGCTTGGCAGGCATACGATAAAGGTACAGATGTACATTTACAAGCCAATCCTACTCAAGGTGAACTTTTACACCGTGAATATCTTCAGAAAAAGGATAAACTCAAAGACACAAGCAAAGATTCAATATTGGCCAAATATGGTGGTGAAGAACATTTGGATGCTCCTCCCAAAGAGTTACTCTTGGCCCAAACAGAGTCGTACGTAGAATATTCGAGGACTGGTAGAGTGATAAAAGGTCAAGAGAGAGCCAAGGCCAAGTCTAAATATGAAGAAGATGGTAAGAAATAAATTTAGTACTTTTAATGTTTAACAAATTATTAACATATTACGTGTATTTTATTTAACCAGTGTACATAAATAACCACGTTTCAGTTTGGGGATCATATTGGGCTGATGGACAGTGGGGATACAAGTGTTGTCATTCTTTTATCAAAAATTCGTATTGTACTGGTTTAATTGTCATTGAAGTAATAAATTCGTCAAATCCATTGGCGAGTTCTAGCATAATATCAACCGGTAATGAAGAGTTATCGTCAGCAAAGAAAACTCTTGTTGAATTGCACAATGAAAATATGAAAAAATCTAAATCCAAGAACATGGATGAAGATGTTAATAAACATCTTAAACGTAAGGATCTTGGAGAAGGAGAAATTAAATTAGATTCAAAGAAGCTAAAGAAAGCGCTAGAAAATGAAGAAAACCGTTATAAATTAAAAAATAATGAAGTAGAAATTGATGATCGAAAACGTCCATATAATAGTGCATATATGGGCAAAAATAATTCTATGGAGGCTGAAGTTACTGAAGAAGACTTGGAAGCGTATAGGCTTAAAAAACAATCGTAAGTTTATAAAATCAAAATACTTTATTTCATTCTGAATATTTTACTGATTTACTAATTTATTTTAGGCATGAGGATCCTATGGCGAATTATGTTGATGAAGATGATTTATAATAATAACATTTAATATTACAATAAAGACATTAAACCATTTAAAAATATTATATTAATAAATAAATAATTGCACCGAAAAAAAAAGAATTAAAAAAACTATTCTTCATCTTCATCCAAGATTCGAGATGTTGTATAATCTTCTAAATATAAATCGTCAATATCTTCGTTTTTATTAATTGCCCCATATCTTTAAAAAAAAAACCATTAATTAGACATACATACACTTATTTATAAATGTAAAATAATTTATTACGTACTTGATCAAAACTTCCTCTACAGTATCCGAATCAAAATTTATTTCACCAATTTGTTCAGTTATTTTAACCAAATTAGCAATTAATTCGCCATTTTTATAAACTAATAAAGCCGGTAAACCAACTGGATCAAATTCCAGATCACTTGCAAGAATTCTGAGAAATTTAGCTTTAACAAATTTTCGGGCCAAGTAAATTAAACACTCATTCAATAGCCTACATTGTGGAATTGACTGTATTAAACATTAATAACTGATAAGTAGTTAGCAAATTTTCCATTATAGTTGTACCATTAATTCATTAATAAAAAAAACTTACGTTTTCATATAAATGCACAATAACACAAACATTTGGTGGTTCATTATCAATAGCTTTAACATATTGATTTGCCGAAATTTCTTTTAAACTGCCAAATCTTTTTTTTGATAAATTGGTTGTAACTGTACCCTTTATTTCTTTTAATCTTTGTTCTCTATATTTGTTTAAAACTTGTTTTTCTTCTTCATCAGAACTAATATTTTCAAAATCTTTTAATAGTTCCTCTTCTTGAGCTTTTAATTCTTGATCTTCCCGATATGTTGTAGTCGTGAAAGATTTTGACAAAATACGTTCATTATGTGCAAGTAAAGCGGCAGTTTTTTTTTGTTGTTCTTGTTGTTTATGATACTTATGATCCGCCAAGACACCTTTAGGACCCGTTTGTGGACCACCATGTTGCGGTGGTGCTACTGTATTATTTTGTGTAGAGGCTTCCTAATTAATCGGGAATATATTAGTTAATTGAAGGTGAAACTGAGAAAGGGTTTACAAAATATTGTTACTTCATTTGATTCGTCTTCGGAATCGTCTGAAGCATGAACAGATCTTGCCGGTTCTTGTTCGTCATCAAGATTAGAGTTTGATAAACTCTCAACTAACGCGTCCATTTAAAAAAACTAAAAAAGTTAAACTTTCTACCCTTTCTATCTGCATTAACGTCACCAACATTTTTGAGTACAAGATTTTTGGTAACTATAATTTTAATTGGTGATCGACGCCAAAAAAAAAAAAAATTTACGCTGAATCTATAAAACCTATAGTCAATTTTACATTTTACTTAGATCTATAAAAGTCTATAAAGTCAATCTTTCGTACTTTGTTTTATTAAGAAAAAAATGAATAGATTTGTACCTAAATCATTTTTTCGTCTTAAACCAGCAGGTTCTTCTATTTTTCAACAGAAAACTTTTATTAGACCTACATTATCATTACTATCTTCACCAAATAATATACTCTCTAAATCGAAAATTATTGTTACTTCTCAGCAAAGATATTATTCTGCTGAGAGTGGTCTTTCCCGTCAAAATATCGAATCTAGAATTATTGATATTGTTAAAGCTTTTGACAAAGTCGATGAAACGAAGGTATTAAATTTATTAAATCCATTTACTCAATATCATTCAGAAAATAATTAATAAACTATTTGATTCAAGGTAAATTCTGAAGCACGATTTGCTGATGATCTTGGATTAGATAGTCTAGACACTGTTGAAGTTGTTATGAATATTGAGGAGGATTTTTCTATTGAAATTCCTGATAAAGAAGCTGATGAAATTAGATCAATTAAAGATGCTGTGGATTATATTGCTAAACGTGAAGATGCTCATTAATTAATTATTATATTATTATTAATTTCTTTTCATACAAATTAGTCTTAAAAATTATATCTATGCTATCAGGCTATCAGAGTGAGTAATTTCAGCACTAATTTCAGCACTAATTTTAACAGAAAAAAAACTTTTTTTTTTAAAAAAAAAGACGCGTAACTAACTTTATTGTTATATATAAATCCCTATAAAATACAAAATATAAATATTTTAGTGTTACCCATCCAAAATTCAGATGTGTTTTTATAATAAATAAACAATAAAATAAAAAGAAATGATTCAATATTGGGAAGTCAAATGATCATAAATCTTCTTTGACTTGTAAACCCATTTAAAGCACATATTTTTTGACATTTGATGGGTATCCTTAATTCGACCAATTCTTGTGTACAGTCAAACCTCAGTATACCGATACATTTGTTTTGGGGAAAATCGGTACATTGTAAATTTGTATATATCATGTGTAATTTATATTGTAGATCAATTTATTATAAAACTAGGTATAAAATTCGTATTATTTATTAGTATTTATATATTATGAATAAAATGATCCTGTTTTAGAACTTTGTCTTAACTTCGTAATAAACTTGTTTCATTTGGATCAATAATGGATATTCAAAAATAAACCAAGATTATCAAATTAGAGTTTCCGGTTTTGAAATTACTTTTGGAGGTTCTTCAATTTGATCCGTTTTTGGTTCACCATTATTTGATTTTATTATGGATACAATTTCTTCGTCAGTTAGCCCTCCATTAATTTAAAACGATCATCGATATGAATTCTTGTAATTTTATTTCATTGGATCAACTTTATCTTCATTTTCTTCGTCTTTATCAATTTCATCTTGGGGAAGAATTCCTGTATGTCTCCAAAGTTAACAATTGTTTGTTGAATTACGGAATCCAAGCTTCTTTACTAAAAAAAGAAATAGCATCACAAATATTTATAGGAGTAACTCATTTGTTTAATTTTTGAGAAATTTCATATGCGTTTCTAACGATCAATTTCAGGTACTGTGCCTAAATTATTCATAATTTTTCTACATATAAGCTAATAATTAAATATCAACTTACCTTAAAAGATTTAATAATTCCTGCATCGCAATTGGTGGCAGAAAATGTACAGTCATATTTGAGAGTTATCAACAAGTAATAGATTTTTGCGATTTTTGTAATCGCATTCGTTTATCCAATTTTGTGAGGTAATCATTCCGTCCAGTAACATACTACCGATAAATCATCTTTTTTTTCCATGTAATGCTTGAGGATTTTGATAGGTATGGATAAAAAGTGGTTTCATTTTTTCTACTGCATGTGAGAAGTAGTGTAACTCGTTTTTTAGATTTTTTATTTCAAAAAATTATGTTGTAAAATATATTCAGCTTACCCGTTTCATCATTTAATTTTTAATAACTTCACGTAATTTATTCCTCTCTTCGACTGACGTTTCCAGAGGTGCACTGTTTGCTTCACCCCATTTTAACATGTTCTTTTAGATTATAACGCGTTTTAAATTTATCCATCCACCAATTAGAAGCTGGAAACCTAGTAATTTCAAATTGCTGTGCAAAGAACTCAGCTTTTTCGCGTAAGATATCACCATTAATTACAAGATTTGTAGAAGGTGCGTTGTAATCCACAATGAAAGGGCCTCTTCAACTTAAGGAAAATGAACATGCTTTTCTATTTGTTTATTCGACTCTTCTGAATCTGGATTAATAAGAAGCCACCTCTTTTTTTAAAAAAAATATCAGAAACAGTATTTGTTCGATATTATATAGGTTGGCAAGTTTTGTATGGGTACGTGGTGCTTTTTGAGAATCTAACAGCTAAACAGAGTTGGCGCTTCTGAGCAAGTGTTAAAACAACTCCTGTTTGGTTGAGAGAGTTCTTTGGTGGATTTTCTTTTTCCTTGTCGAGACGATACACATTTTGTGAACTATTATTCGATGGTTTTCTTTATTAAAGAAATTTGGAATTTGGGCATTCGCATTATTTAAAATAGCCAATATAACGTGGTGTAACCTGAATATCAGTACACGTTACATCGCGAGTTTATATTACTCCCACCTTCAAAACATGTTCCACGAGGTTTTTTATTAAGTATGAAATGGGACAGTGAAAATTTATCGGTACAGGAAATTCGGCATGTAAGGTATCGGTACATTGAGGTTTGACTGTATAATATTACTTAAAAATCCCGAAATTGAAAAAATGTCAATTAATAATTAAAATTATTTTTAACAATTTACTCTATTTTATATCTTATATACAATAAGTTACAAAAAATATTTTTTACTCTTGAAAATTCAATATGCTTCTATTAAATGTAATAAACAAATTGTAAAATAGTTTAAAATAAATAATTATTTAACACCATGTGAAAAATGGTGTTCCCCCCTTAACGTATTCTAACCTTTCAATAATAACTTGTTTAGTCATTTTTTCTAAAGGATACTTATCTTTATTTTTACCTATACTGTCAAAATTAAATTTTTCTTTAAGTTTATCACTCCATTTCTGCTTACTAGATGAAGCAGCAGGAAATGAAGATACTGTGGGCGCACTAGTTGACAAGGAAATTCTTTCAGAATTATCTACAGACGAATTACGTCTTGGAACTGACGTAGTAGAAAAGTAATCATCAGATCTTGGTGTATCGCCCCCCTCATCATTTACTGTACCAGTATTTATATCAACACCATTGATATTTCTATTGTTTACATCAATTTCTGGCGAAACCTCTATAAGTTTAACATCATCCCACACCATTGCATTCTTTTTAGCACAAAGCTCATATGGACCCTGATCAGGGTGCTTAAGTGTCTCAACTATGTTAAATCCTTGGCCTTTTAATACTGCAATTTGTTTTTCAAACATACCTGGTTCAAAATCAGCATCCAATGAAAATAAGTTGCGAAGCTCATTAACTGTTTCTTTCCACCATTTAGGGTCAGAAAGCATAGAAAGAAAACGATTTCTAGTATTTTGAGTAAAAGGTTGTTTAATAAGGGAGTCTGCAAGATAAAGCCATCCATATGGATAAGATCTCCATTGATCGGGATGTTTAAAAGGAAATGCTAAACCATTATCTATGGCTGCAACATGTATATGTGGATATGGAATTTGTTGAGAAAAATTTATATCGGTTTGTGAAGATGGTATTATAGGGGGGGATGAAACAGATGATATAGGCTCAAGTGAATTATCTGATTTATCTTGAATAGGTGATTCTGAAAATGATGATGAAGGCTCACTGCCGTCTGGTGATAGTGGTGGTGGTACATCAACATTTGTTCCTTGAGCAGGAATCAAATTATCCTCATTATTCTTGGAATAAGTAGATGCTGTTAAAATATCTGGAGCTTTCATAACCTTTGATGTGGGCGGAGTATCTCTGATACAAGTTTGTTCATCCTTATCACAGTATTTAATCATCCAATTATCTGATCCCCTGTCTATATCAAATGAAAAGTATATATTAATATAAGTATATAAAAAATATTAAATTATTTTTTTTAAAAAAAAAATATTATTATTTTACCAGTATTCCTCATTAAATAGTCCAAAATAACTAATTTTTCAAATTGTTCTCGAAATTGTAATTGTAATTCTGGTGTCCATACAAAACGTTTCCCCAATTGATATGACTCTAATGCTTCTCCTCCATCATCTACACCAGACCGACCACACATAAGTGCATTTAATCGTCGATTTTGTCTTTCATTCACGATCACATCAGTTTCAGATGTTGTTGTAGCAGTAGTAGTATTATAATTTTCAGGCCAGGGATGATCTCTCAAAAATATGTTAGCATCTATGAAACCATCCAAAAATACTTGAAAACTGCCTTCTTTATTAGGTAATGGTTTTAATCTAGCTTCACCACGATCATAGTGAAATGATGGAGAAGAAATCCTAGTCACTTCAGTGACTGGAACAATATTTAATAGTAACCGTTTATCTAAGAGGGAGGCCGCAGATTCGGAAATGTAACCAAGATTTGGAATTAAACTATTTTAGAAAATTAACGGAAAGTGTTCGGATTTAATTATCAATATTTATTATTATTATTATTAAGGAAAAAACAAATGAATATACTGATGCAACTCACCAGCTTCTTCCAAAAAAGCAAGGGAATAAATTTCTATGAATCCATTTTGTCCATTTGGGATTCAACTGTCCATATGGCTCTTCATTCTTTGGTTTAAAAACACCTACAACTTTTCCGTCCTTATTTCGACAGAAGTAAGAACCGGAAGAGCCTTGACGGATTCTTGTGGGTTGGATATTTGCGTCAATAGCAGAATTAACAGAATCTACGATTTCATTGAACTCTTGTTTTGTTAAAGGCTCTTTATGATTTGACGTCAACAAGGGTATACGTGGCTATTAAATATAATTAAAGCTTTTAATTTAATTGAATATGAATTATGATAATCATTACGTGTTTTATAATACCTTCCAATCCTGTATAGTTGTTATTGGCTTAAAAACTGATTCATAAATTTCCAATTCTGCTTTATCTAAATCTTTTCCTTTACCCTTCAACTTCAACTTTTTTGAAATTTGCGACCAAGCGCTACTACGTTCAGTACGTGGAGTAGTATTACTATTATTTGAAATATTGTCGTAACTATTTCTAGTATTATTTTGTTCACTTTCAAGGGGAGCGATTTCCATTCTGTTTGTTTGGATCTGAAATTTTACTTGAGGCGTTTCAGATAAAGAACGGTTTTGATGATAACGTGGTTTACTAAATATATATTTGCCGTTATGATCGTGATCAGACCAAGAAATATATTCTTCTTCTTCGTAGTTGTCTGATTCTTGCTGAAGTTTTATATAACCTGACTGTGAAGAATTATTTGACCTAATCATTTTCTAGTAACTTGTAATATATTAAGATTTAGAATAATAAATCGATAACCCAATAACCTTATGGAAAGTTTTGATTTTCGGAAATTTTTGATAATCTTTTAGATCTACAAAGAACATACCATGTGGCTAGGAATTAGATGACGTATTTATGATCTTGTTAAATTAATAACATTACATAATGTCTTAATGTTTTGATTAAATATTTAGAAAATCATTTATCCCATCACGTGATTTGATAATCGTATAAAAAAAATTTCTACGCGGCTAATAAACCGAAAATTTTAGTACAATAAGAATTATGGACAATATGGTTCACATTGTAATAGTATTACAAAAAATTTACGCCACTTCTTGCGTGTATAACTTGAAAAGGCAATTGTTAAACAATTAAAATTCCTTCGCGAAATGAAAAGGGAATTAATAATCCGAGTTGGTTCTTTGGTCACACGATATATAATTTGCGTAAATAATATTGTCGATCATATTCACAGGTTAACGACTCAAAACGTTAAAAAATTCCGATTTTCGGAGACAAATACGTCATAAATCAGGAATTTTTATTTTATACTGCGGCCAAACATTGTTTGTTACAGAACAAAGAATTTCAGAAAAAGAAACTCGGGACTTGCGTAGAAACTTGCACTAATAAAATATAGGAATAATGGCGTTTTTTAATCATGTGCTGGATGCAAAATGAATCTCCACGTCTTCTTTACGAAAATGTATGTGGCTTAGCAGAAAAGAATTTTTCTTTTTTTTTAATAAATAGTCAAAATGTGTATTCAATGAATTGGATAGGTACGAATATTATAAAATTGCTTGGAGAAGATCATATGATAATATAATGTTTACAATACCTTTTTTTTCGTGAAAACATCTTTTTCACGTTTTACTGATTATAATTATGCTCATTGATAAAAATGAGGGGAAATATGATCAGTCGCAGCACAGCATTATAATGGAAAAAAAAACTGCGGAATGATCCGTGAAAAACGGAATTCCGGTTTATCACTTATTTGTGTATTATACGTCACACATTGTAAGTGTATAATGTGACAAATGGTTTGTTCCACAGCTTCAGTATAATTGATTGTGACCAATCAAATATTCGTGTTTATTTGCTATATCAATTTAGTTGCCACGACTCATCGGCCTTTTTCAACCTTTTTTTTTTTTCAGTTCTCCCTGCATTTTTTGCTTTCCTCAGTTCAACTATCCCTTTTATCCCTCATCCATAAATTCTCCGCTTTTTTCTTCAAGCGACTAAATTTTTTCTTCAGCGAAAAAAGGATTTTTTTTTACAATAAAATATTATTAATATAATCGCTTGGATGAAATAAAAATTACTGTATCAAGTATAATCCGTTTATTGTCTTGCTTTTGTCAACAAGTCATTTATCTTTTTTTATATTCAATTTTTATACCTGATATATCCTTTGTCATATATAAATAGACTTAATATATCAGTGTTATCATTTATTATATATATAGATATCTTTTTTTTTCTCATTAAACTTTTTCAAATAATCGTTTTTACTCTATTTTCTTTGTATCTATCTTGATTATTAATATTGGGCTAAAGAAAGTTCTGGTAAACTAATAAAAAAGTCGGATAATAAACCAATAAAATTGTACATCTCTTAGTTTACCTCCAAAAAAAAAGTTATATCTTAGTTACTTCAATATTTTATAGACTTTTTTTTACGAAATTTATATATAACCCGAGAACTTGTTGGCAGCGCATCTGACAAATATAACCATGACTTTGTTATATACTCAACCTATCCACTCTTTCGACCGCACCTGTACAGAAAATTATAATAATATCCCTCCGCGGTCTTCTTCGACTTCCCCTGAAAGGTCTTCAAATAAGGAAACCATTCCTCGTACGTGTTCATCTACCCCACCATCTCCATCTTATAACGACAAAGTTTGTGATCTACCCAGCATAGTTGCTCCATGTCCAAAGAAAGCTTTATATGCCTATGCTGGACACTTGTTAAATAATAATTTTTCACCAGTACTACCTACTTTGCAAAACCCATGGGGGTTGTCTTCGGTGCAAGAGGATATGGAGGATGATCCTATGTTCGAATCTACTGTGGATCTTTTAGAATCAATGTTAGTATTATCTATGAAATCTACTCTATTTTTTTTTGTTTGGACCTTTATAGTGATAAAATTTTCTTTTTTTTTTGCGTATTTAATTATTATAGGTCCGATGAAGCTCTTGCATGTGCAGAACTTATGGAAATTATGGGTAATTCTAGTCGTGGTTCTAGTCGCCCAGTTTCACAATCTGCTTCTCCAGATCGTGCTTATAGAGGCCATTCATTGTCTCCATCATTTTCATTAGAACATGAACATGAAGAAGAAGATGAAGAAGAATCTGCGGCCACCGAAAACGTAAATGATAGCAGTTATACTCACACTGGAGCGATTGAAATTGAACAAACGCGACAAAAGCCAGCACTACGCCCTGTTCGTCTTGCTATAGATAATTCTCATTTGATATTTGGTTCTTCTCCAATTACTCGTGCACATAATCCTTTGCCTATGGATTCATGCTTTTCTCCAAGCAAGCGTCATCACCATCAAGCTCAACCATATCCATCGCGACCAACTCTTCATCAAGCTACTAGTATTCAACGTAAATTGTGTGATGCTGTAGCTGATATGAATGTTAGTGGAAGCTCCTTTGATGATTCTGCTCAACCCCCTCCCTTATCCAAAGCTTCTAAAGCGGCAATTTTGTTGCGCATCTCCGAAGGTGGTCGACGTAGATCATTGTCCGTTGGAAGTGCTGGATTTAAACCTGGCAGCAAAATTATTGGACGTGTCTAATTATTAGGTCTTTAATTTTATTTCTATTAACACTACTCACTCTCACATAATCTCGGTCATAATTTTTTCATATTCTGTATATATTTGTTAAACTTTTCTTACTTTTTTTTTGCACATATTTTTTTTTTTTTTGCTATTGAGCATTTGTTTTTATATATTTTTTTTACGTAGAATTTTGAAAAAAAATATTTTGTACACAAAAATGCACTTTTATTTTGCCTTTGGGCTTTTTTCTTTTACGTACATATATATAATATTATATTTCCTATTTTTATTTTATATACAAAAAATTTTCTTTTAATATTAGCATTTATATATCATATTTTCCTTTTATAATTTATTCATAATCAGTCATATCTTTAAATTGGGATTCTTTATTGTTTGTTTTAGTATAGTGTGATTACGGTGGTTCATGGTATTTTACATTAACAATATAATAGACATAAATCAATTTCACTTTAATATGACTGAATCATTCTTCTTCTTCTCATACTTATGTATTTCTTTTACTTTATTTTGTCTATATAATTTCATTTTTTAGAGAGTGAGTTTTTTTTTTACAAAAGAATTTAATTTTTGTTTATATATATATATATATATTTTAATAAAATAAAAGTTTTATACTAATACTACGTATTACCCAAAAAGAAGTGAACCAAATCATTTCTAATAACCTATTTAATCACTTGAGTAACTAATTATTTGTTCTTACATACATTAAAAATCTTAAGAGTTTATCATATTTTTTTTTTTTCAGGAATCATAAGAATAATATCTTAAATCTTTGTCACCGCAGGTTGATGATTTTTTTCTTTTCGACTAAAATATTGATAATATTGATCTGATCATAATATATTTCATTTCTAAATATTTTTATATTTAATCTGTAATCATGTATAAATAAATAAAGTAATATGAAAATAAAGAAAAAGGGCGTGCTTGGGTTTCCAAGATCGCTGATGATAAACTTGCAGAACAGCACTCTGTACATTTTTTTTAGGTTATACCGTGTTTATTATTAAGTTTTTTTTACATTATTTTTTTTTTTTTGTTATAAGGTTACATAATGCGTGTTTAATTTTCTTAATTTCCCAACACGTGACATTTAACAAATCAAATATGTCAAATGTCTCTCATTATAACGAATCAGCAAATTAAATTCCTTAAATTCTTTACTATAATCTTAGTGAATTTGAGGTAATAACTGGAGGACTTATTATATCAAAGGTTGACTGTATTATGATTTTTAAAAGAATAATCCATCTTATAAATTGTAAAAGAAATAAAAGAAATGATATTTTTAAATAGATTATGAAATCTATAATAAAAAATGATTAACATAGTTTAAATAAACAAAATCTTAAAAATTAGCTATTGGAAATGTTATACAGTCAACCCCTTTATAGGCACCACCTATATAAGAACTTCTCTTCTTATTAAGGCACCCATTTTTTGGTCCAAATTTTTTTTATATATAAAATACCCCTTCTATACATGCCACCCAAATTATTTTGGACTGCCGTAATTATAAGTAAAATCCCAAATTCAATTATGGCATCCCAAATTATTTTGGCACTTTACATAGTAAATTATATATAAACTGAATGAATTATGGCATCCCAAATTATAATTATGGCATCCCAAAATAATTTGGGCAGCATGTATAACCCCTTCTATAATCACTTTATTAGTAATTATGCCAATATCAGTTTTGTATTATAATAAATATATATAAAATTCCTCCTGTGTAAGCACATCATATATAAATCATGTAATTTGATGAAATAACCAATAAAATATATGTTATATAGTTTGCACTTTAAACTTAATAGTATGAAAAGTTTTTATTTTTCAAAAATATCTATAATATCTTTAACAGATAAATAATTTTAAGTATATTTTACATTACGAAATGTTTTTGCAAATATTTTACATATATGATTATATTTATTTATATATAAAAGTACTGAATTAATATTCTCATCAATATATAAGTACAGTCAACTCCCTCTATAGTTACTCCCGTTATAGTCACATTCTACTATATAGTCACACCAGTTGAATGTTCAAAACACTTTATTATTAAAAATTATCCTATATAGTCACAATCTATCTATAGTCACTATCACACCTATCCTCAAAAATCTTATATTAAAAAGAACTGTTTATAATCACAGTTATATAAAGAATATATTAAATAACTTGGCATCTAATAATCGTACAAAGATGTATCATAGCTTGTTAGAATCGTCTCACTGAGAT